TTGATGAACGGCAGCTAGAATCCCGAGCTCCTGAAGGAGGAAAATATAATGAGCTAAAACTCCAAAATACAATAAGGTCACAGTGAGTAATCAATTTCTTCAGATGGACTAAGAAATGCAGCACAAGTGAGCATTATGAATTGATTAAAAAGTGAGAGTTAAAAAGCTAAAAATAGTTACTTTCACTTTCAAACCGCTCCGCTCAGGATAATAGCTTCTTCTACTGTTATTTCCAGATTTTCATTTTTCAAAAAACATTTCAGGGGTGTCTGTAACGACGCCACCAGTTGTAGGAACGTTACTGCTTTGTCAGAATCTCCTACAATTTGTAATGAATCTACAAATTCGATAACACAGCCATTAGCCTGTAATATTTTGTTTATCTTCCTTTGATGTGTAGCGCGGCTTGACTCGAAAGTATACGAAACAGAGGCTTGGATTTAAGAGAAACTGTAATAAGTTTATTGAAGTATGGAAGCTTAATGGTTTCAATGTTTCTTAACTCCTAGAGGTACATTCCTTTAGTGGACTGCTCTTTCCACTAGACAGGTTTTAAACTTATTTCCTTCAAAATGTGTTTCTTTCGTTAACAGATCACTTCAGGTACTAGCCTATTCTTTCCCTCTGTTATCTCTGTTACAGTAAAGATTCTTACTAGGGTTCTCTTCCCTTTTTCCTGCTCAGACTCTTAACTACTAATCTAAATACGTCAACTTGGCTTATTTAAACCACACAGGCTAAAAGCCTAAACCTTCCTGATTCTCAACACAGTAGAACCAGCTTTCCCTGTGGTTCTCTGACTACAGACTGCCTATTTAAAATGCCTGCTCCTGCCAAGTGGCAATTGGCTCCTCCCCTTTTACCATGGCAACCCAGCTCAGAGTGAACTGAGCTGGCTACCATCCACCCAGTTATGCTACTTCAAATACTTACCTCCTTAAACACCTAGCTATAACTACACATGACTGTAGGTTAAAATTCACACTTCACCACAGTGTCCAGTCCGTTTTCTTTTTGGGATTTGGAAATGCTGATCCTTACTTGACATTTTTTTCTTGCAATGACAGGCTTGACAGTTTTCCTTGTATCAAAATTGTGTTGCATGTGTTTTATTTCATTTAATTTCATTTTTATCCTGCATGATACAGGACCCAAGGCAATGGTATCATTGTTTTTGCTCCTTTTACAACAACATAGTGCTATTTTATTATTAATTTTTTTTAAGGGAAAGGCCATCATATACTTATGACAAATCCAAAGCATTGAAGAGACATCTAATGATTAATCACATTAGTTGTACATGAATTTGAAAGGCCTTTCATGAAAATGAAAGGAAGCACGCTGAAAAGGATGCAAAAAGGGGGGAAAATTTTAAATTAATGTTGCAAGTAGCTTTAGCCAAATGGGATCAGATCCACATTGTAAACACTTTGGAAGAATCTTGTCCATAGAGAAAAGTGAAGTTATATAATATAGTTTGTGGTAACTGACAGGTGACACCCCCATTTTTTTATTCTGCTTTTTTAAGAAGTTAGGTTCACTAAAGGACTTACTCTCTTTTCTAAGCCAAAATTTTGCCGTAAAGTATCGTTCTGTGTTGGGCTGATTGAGTACAACATGAAAATAAAAAGGTTTTATGTTAGAATTGATGTGACAAGTATGGGCCAACAGACTTTATCTATGAAATGACTAACACATTATGGTTATTAAACGTAATGTAAACTAACAGCATAACAAGCAATGCAAGTACATTTGCCCTTTACATCATTGCATGATGCAACTGGTAACTTTTATAGCGTTGTACAGGAAACAAAACAATGTATGTGTGACGAGTAGGTTTCCAAAGCCTGGTCTCCCTTGTTACATATTACTTTTCACCCAACTAAATCCCTGTTAGCACCACAATGCCTAATATACAGATAATAATAATAATAATAATAATAATAATAATAATAATAATAATAATCTTTATTTATACCCCGCCACCATCTCCCCAATGGGGACTTGGGGTGGCTTACATGAGGCCAAGCTCAAACAGCAAATTACAGCAGAATAAAACCGAAAATGCAAACAATAAACAACAACATCATAATTATATAAAACATATGCATGCATAACAATATAAAATTACAATAAACACAATGACAGTGACAATGGGCTGGCTACATGTAATGAGATAACAACATTGTTTGTGATTTACTATTTCAGTGCCCCAAAGTGTGAACAAACAGAACTAAAGTGTGGTTCCTCCTGGCAAATGTAATTTTTACGCTTGACTTTCTCATTTCTAGGAATTTCAAAAGCAGCAACAAGCCACTAAGAATACTATTGATGAGTTGAACAACAAGATCATGGCAAGTGGGCTTAAAATTACTGAACAGATGTAGCTGAAATCAGCAGGTCCTATGAGATCCACCAACCTTAAGTTCCCTTCCCACTAACAGTGTTTTGTACTTCTGCAAACTTTCATCTTATTTCTCAGTTGTCCATTTTTGGATGCATCACAGCTTGGCATATTAGTTCTTTCTTTGTATACACTAAGTGTCACATTGGCCCTGGCGATTCAGTTTCATCTGCTGCATATTTAGATGCAACTGGCCATATCTTTTTAATTTCCCCTCCTTTAGGAGAGAAGAAGCTGGATATGATTATTATTATTGTTTGATACACAGCAAGATGCATTCACAGCAAACAAGATCACTATGCTGGTTGTTGTATTTGATCACATGTCTGACACTTCCCAAGTGTCTAGGACTGTGTGATGTATCAGCAAATATGGCAGCTGACAGATGGTAATTTTGTCAGTGCTGATTGTTTTTAAGTGCAGACCAAGGTCTTTAGGCAGTGCACCCAGTGTGCTGATTACCACTGGGACCAACTTTACTGCCAGAGTCTTTGCAGTTCAATCTTTAAATCATCGTATTGTGTAAGCGTTTCTAGTTGCTTCTCGTCAGTTCTGCTATCACCTGGGATTGTTATTATAATAATAATATAGTAGGGTACATTACAGGAAGCAGGTTGTCCCACATAATTTTACTCCTGTTGTTGTTGTTGTTGTTGTTGTTGGGAGTAAAATGTCTTGGTACAACCTTGATTCCTGCAATGTACTCTACTTTTATTTTTCATCCAAGATCTTGCCTTTATAGAAAGTTAGAAATTTTTCTTAAAGTATACAAAATTTGCAGTCAGAATTTACATCTATAAGGAGATAATTTGCAAAGTGATGGAAAGTCAATTTGGTAGGCAGAATTCATGAATATAATGAAAAGGGTAGCATGGTATGTGTTGATTGATTGTTTTGTTCTGGTGGTATTTTATTCCCCCCCCCTTCTACTTTGTGTTAAGTTGTGTTTGACTTAAGTTGTTTACACTAAGTCCTTGATATCTGTCATAAGTTTTTAGTACCATCCCCAAAGATACCAAAATCTGTTGGTGATCAAGTCCAATGGTTTGGCAAAATAGTCTCCTTTATACAAAAATAGCAAAATCAAAATTTAGATTTTTTTCCCCAATCCATTAATAGTTGAATCCATGGATACAGAGACTGTGGATGCAGACTTTGCTTTGCAACAGTTGCTGAAATGCCAAATATAACTCCTAAAGGAATTAATATAAATTGTTTTATTTCCTGAAAAGATTATGGAGACAGAATTGAAGGAGAAGAATGAAACTTTGAACGCGATCGCTTCAACTCTTCACAGGACAGAGCTGGAACTCCGGAACGAGGTGAAAATTTAGGAGAAGATTCCCTGTTGTCTTGAATGTTGCCTTGAAGGGATGGAACAGATGATTAAGATAATGTATTGTCGAAGGCTTTCGTGGCTGGAATCACTGGGTTGTTGTAGGTTTTTTGGGCTATATGGTCTTGTTCAAGAAGCATTCTCTCCTGACGTTTCGCCTCTAAGGATGCTTGCCATAGATGTTGGCGAAATGTCAGGAGATAATGTTTCTAGATTAATGGTTCTCAACCTTCCTTATGCCATGACCCTTTAATACAGTTCCTTATGTTGTGGTGACCCCGAACCATAAAATTATTTTCATTGCTACTTCCTAACTGTAATTTTGCTACTATTGTGAATTGTAACGTAAATATCTGATACGCAAGATGTATTCTCATTCACTGGATCAAATTTGACACAGATACCCAATACACCCCAATTTGAATACTGGTGAGCTTGGGCAGGGGTTGATTTTTGTCATTTGATGAAATTGAACCAATCTTGGCACACAGAACTCCCATGACTAACATAAAATACTAGAAGGGTTTGATGGGCATTGACCTTGAGTTTTGGAATTGTAGTTCACCTACATCCAAAGAACACTGTGGACTCAAACAATGATGGATCTGGACCAAACTTGGCACAAATACTCAATATACCCAAATATGAAAACTGGTGGAATTAGGAGAAAATAGACCTTGACATTTGGGAGTTGTAGTTGCTGGGATTTATAGTTCATCTACAATCAAAGGGCATTCTGAATCCCACAAATGATAGATTTGGGCCAAATTTCCCACACAGAACCCTTATGACCAACAGAAAATACTGTGTTTTCTGATGTTCTTTGGTGACCCCTCTGACACCCCCTTGCGACCCCCCCAGGGGTTCCGACCCCCAGGTTGAGAAACACTGCTCTAGATCATGGCCATATAGCCCCAAAAAACCTACAACAACCCAGATTAAGATAATGTGCATCCTATCTTTCAATCAAATGAGCCTCAATGGGTCGAAGGATCACCACTTCTATTGCACTCCACTCCCAAAACTGAGGCTGCCCTGTGAACATTTACACTGCAGCCCCATCTTCAAAAGTTGTATATATTTAGCCTGATGGGAAAAACTGTTCAACACTGGAATATGTTGCTATGGAGAGACAGAGGTCAATTTTCTAGAGATCAAGATATGGGTAGATGATGTTTCCATTCCTGTCATACCACTGAGCAAGGCTGCGGCTATCAGAAGCAGGATCCCAGTCACTTGATTGATGATGGAAAGGGGTGAGAATGTCATCTAGCTACACCACAAATGACAGCAAAATGGGCCTCCTTCTCTGAGTGTAGCCTGATAAAGTAAACATGGGAGAGCAGTTACAATTGTGCCACAGGGATTGTGAATATGGATCATGTATGGATACCTTTAAAAAGAACCTTAAAACCTGGCTCTTCCGCTGTGCCTTTGGTGAGTAGGTATACAATCCCACACTATTGCTTAGCCTCAATGTCCTGTCATTGGAATATACGTGTGTCCCCCGTCCCCCCCGTCCCGTGGAAAAGCTTGATTCCACAGCCCCTGCTATAATGAGCCCTCCTCCGCAAATAATCTGTCTCTCTTTTATCTCACCCGAGTTTTTAATTAGTTTTAATTAGTTGTTCTTTTAATCATTACATGTATCCCGCCCATTGTCATTGTGATTGTGCTTATTGTAATTTTATATTGTTATGTATTCACATGTATTGCGTTATTATTGTTTATTATTTGCATTTTCAGTTTTGTCTTTATTGCATGTAATTGTTGTTTTGGGCTTGGCCTCATGTAAGCCGCACCAAGTCCCAATTGGGGAGATGGAGCAGGGTACAAATAAAGATTATTATTATTATTATTATTCTACTATTGGGTTGTTGTAGGTTTTTTCGGGCTATATGGCCATGTTCTAGAGGCATTCTCTCCTGACGTTTCGCCTGCATCTATGGCAAGCATCCTCAGAGGTAGTGAGGTCTGTTGGAACTAGGCAAAAGGGTTTATACATCTGTGGAATGACCAGGGTGAGACAAAAGACTCTTCTCTGCTGGAGCTAGGTGTGAATGTTTCAACTGACCACCTTGATTAGCATACAATGGCCTGACTGTGCCTGGGGCAAACTTTTGTTGAGAGGCCTTGTTTGCTTCCTCTCTGTTGTTGTGCTGTTGTAATTTTAGAGTTTTTTTAATACTGGTAGCCAGATTTTGTTCATTTTCATGGTTTCCTCCTTTCTGTTGAAATTGTCCACATGCTTGTGGATTTCAATGGCTTCTCTGTGTAGTCTGATAAAACTCCGTTCAAAAAAAGGTTGCCCCAGGCACAGTCAGGCCATTGTAAAAAGCGCTGGCCATCCGTGAGAAGATGGAAGCAGAGAGAGGCGACCTTGCTGCCATCAACAAAACTCAAACTTAAAAACTTAATATGGACACGCCACTAGTTTTACCTACCCATGCCCCCCACCCTAACCCTATTTTAAGGAATTAAACAATTTTAATCTTTTAACCTTTTTATCTTGTAGTTGCTCAATTATTTGGGAGTGGGTTGACAGGCCAGTAGGCCATGATGCCTTGTGTTCATATGTGGTTTTACTGTATGTGTATGTTTTGCATGTTTTGATATGGTCAAAATTGACTAATCAATAAAGAATTGTTGTTGTTGCTAATCAAGGTGATCAGTTGAAACATTCACACCTAGCTCCAGCAGACAAGAGTCCTTTGTCCCACCCTGGTCATTCCACAGATATATAAACCCTTTTCCTAGTTCCAACAGACCTCACTACCTCTGAGGATGCTTGCCATAGATGCAGGCAAAACGTCAGGAGAGAATGCCTCTAGACCATGGCCATATAGCCCGAAAAAACCTACAACAACCCAATTATTATTATTGTTATTGTTATTATTATTGTTATTATTATATGTCACTCTAGATTCTGCATCCATGCCTGTAAAACTGAACACCATGCAGTGTCTTTTCAACAATCAGTTGTGGCATAGATCAGGTCAATCTGTTTTCAAAAACCCAAATGATTTCAACTTGTTAGAACCAAGTTTTCACACATCCCTATAAATGACTGTTCCTTTAAAAAGGGAAGACCATAATTCAGAGGCAGGGTAGTAAAAGGCTCCAGGTGTAACTGTCCTGATTTGCAGTTGAAAGGGTTTGCAGGCTTCAAAATGGGGTAAGAACAGACCATTCTCAGCTAGATTAACCTCCTAGAGACTCTCAAAAGTAGCCTCCACAGCCTCATAAATTGACCTATTGCTTCTCCCACTCCACCCCCCCCCCCCCCCCCCCCCAATCTACAGAAAGCCAACTTGTCTGAGATGGAAAAAAACATTCAACAACGAATTGCAGCAGTTGAAGAGAAGCATCGAATTAACATGGCCAATTTGGTAGAAGAAAATGTAATATTAAGGTAGGAGGGAAAAAAAAACTCTTCTAAAGTCCAGATAAAAAAGGAACTATTACGTTATTCATAATGCAATCCTATACATATCTATTGAGTACTAAATCCCATTAAATGCAGTAGGGCTTGCATCCAAGTCAGTATGTATAGGAATATATTATAGAATAATTTATGGTTTATTTTCAAAACAAAAAAAATGGAAGGAAAAAACATGTGGTTAAAATTACCGTAATTGCATTTTAGCCATTGTTTGCTCTAAGAAAATCTGTCACCTCTTAATCCGGACTGTCTGGATTCTACATTTGATGTATCTGCATAATCATACTTTGTGACCAAATTACTCAGAATACCCATTGGATGACTAAGGTCCCTTCCACACAGCGGAATAAAATTCCAGAGTTTCTTCTTTGAACTGGAATATATGGCAGTGTGGACTCAGGTAACCCACTTCTAAGCAGATAACATGGGATTTTATGCCTTGATATTCTGGATGATATGGCTGTGTGGAAGAGCCCTCAGATATACAAATACAGTAGTTCCCATAATGGCCTGTCTTATTCTGCTCACATGGCTTTCAAAGCATATTAAATTAATTATTAAGTTGTAGCCAGATAATGGAAAGGAATGTTATGATGGACAAAAGAAACATAGGAGAAAGCTAGCCCCCTTCTACACTGCCATATAATCCAGATTATCAAAGCAGATAATCCACATTATCTGCTTTGTATTGAATTATTTGAGTCTACACTGCCATATAACCCAGTTCAAAGCAGATAATCTGGATTTTATATGGGAGTGTAAGGGGCCCTAGGGTGGAACTGGAAAAACACCTACTCCTCATTTCTAGTGCCTGAATAAGCTAAAGTTACTTAGCATATCATTTGGTTGCTTGGTTATCAAGGCAAGTGAGTAATGATGATGATGATGATGATAATAATAATAATAACAATTATTATTATTATTATTATTATTGTACTCTGCTTCCATCTACCCGAAGGGACTTGGGGCGGCTTACATATGGCACAATGTGCCTAGAACAACATATAAAATAAGCACACAACACAACAAAAGATAAAACCACTAGCATATAAAACAATTATTTAAACTCAAAATTGTGCCCAATAACCTATGGTGAGAACTGTCGTAAAACATGGCCAACCGTAACGAGGAACAAGGGAATAGAATAGTGCAAGTTGTAGTTCATGAGTTATAACTTTAATCTAGAGTTGTATCTTGTGCCCACTAGGATTTGAGGACCTAGAGCAGTAGTGGGAATTGTGTGGTCCTCCAGATGCTGGTGGACTGCAGCACCCAACATTCATTCATTATGCTGTGATCTGCAACTTCTATGCTACACAATACAAATTGTGATTATCAATCTGCTCTTCAGATCTTTAACCGCAGGGGCACAAAAGTGCCAACCCTCTGGAACCTGTTAGAGAGTATCTCCTGTCATCTCTTAGGATTGGCCATGTTGATTTTTCTAGAGAATAGGTTCCTCACTCATGCTTCATAGTCCAGATCTCTTGTAGTTTGTGAAGGAGGTAGCTCACATATTCTTGTTTCTACATTAGGATCCCCACAAAACTATCTAAAACATCAAGGGTTCTTAACCAGGGGTTCGTGGAAAGATTTTAGGAATCTGTGAGCTTGATGTACACAGCATAGTATAGACTTAATATGATTACTATTTTGATGTAACGCGTTCTGTGTGCAGTGAATAACTCTTTTGGGAAAATGATGCCATAAACTTTTGGGGAACGGGAATCTCCATAACCTTTTGGAAAATGGCATTTATTACCATTTGGGAAAACCAGGAATCTCCCCCAGAAGAGTCAAAAACTTGCTTGAATCAACCTTCTCCTTACTAGTAAATATCCACTAATATTCATGCAAGGCAATTAGGTTTCTCAGCTGTTAAGGGACAAAGATATAATAATAATATTATAATAAAACTTTATTTATACCCTGCTCCATCTCCCCCAGGGTGACTTGGTGCGGCTTACCCACGCGCTTACTTCGTTCATCCGGAGAGGCCCTGCTCGCGATCCCGCCTGCATCGCAGGCGCATTTGATGGGGACTCGAGACAGGGCCTTTTCTGTGGTGCCCCCCCGACTTTGGAACACCCTCACCAAAGATCTTAGACAGGCCCCTACGTTGGCAGTCTTTAGAAAGAATTTGAAGACCTGGCTGTTCCGATGTGCCTTTCCAGAATAGGAAAACTCCAACAAGTCCCAGAAGCACTTTATTAGAAATTAAAATTGCTGGCACACTGCACTACCCTATAATCCTTACATATCACCTGTCACATCAGCACTTTTAATCTGTACCCATTACTCTGGCCCGGCCCAGTTTTATTGTGTCCTGGTGTATTGTTTTATTGCTTGTTGTTTAATATTGCTTTAACTGTTTTTAATTTGCTTTAGGTTGTGTATTGTTATGTTGTGTTTTGAGGCTTTGGCCTTTGTAAGCCGCATCGAGTCCTTCGGGAGATGCTAGCGGGGTACAAATAAAGTTAATAATAATAATAATAAATAATGCATGAGGCCACGCCCACCAGTGCAGTACATACATTGTAATACAAAAACACAACAATACCAGAAAATAAAATACATAAAATGCAAAGAAATATAATAAACGACACAGACAATATAAAACATGCAATTAAAAACAGAAGATTTCACTGGGCAGGGCCACATTCAAGGCTAAAAAATTAAAAACTCTGGGAGATAGGACGATGCAAATCATCAGGATGAGTTTCTTACATTCAATCACTGAAGGCACATTGGAATAGCGAGGTTTTCAGGTTCCTTTTGAAGATTGCTAGCGTGGGTGGGTGCTTGCCTAATATCTCTGGGGAGTGAGTTCCAGAGCTGGGGGGCCACCACAGAGAAGGCCCTCTCTCTCGTCCTTGCAAGTCGCACTTGAGATGCGGGTGGGAGCAAGAAAAGAGCCTCTCTGGAAGATCGAAGAGATCGTGTGGGTTCGTGGATGGAGATACGGTCGCGCAGATAGGTGGGTCCCAAACCGTTCGGGGCTTTGTAGGTCAAGACCTGCACCTTGAATTGGGCCTGAAAAATAAACGGCAGCCAGTGGAGCTCCTTAAACAGGAGGGTTGACCGCTCTCTGTAATTCGCCCCAGTTAATAATCTGGCTGCTGCCATCGTACCAGTTGGAATTTCCAGGCCGTTTTCAAGGGGAGCTCAATGTAGAGAGCATTGCAATAGTCCAATCTAGAGGTAACTAAGGCGTGGACCATCATGGCCAAATCTGACTTTTCGAGGTACGGTCACAGCTGGCATATGAGTCTTAATTATGCAAAGGCCCTCCCAGCCACTGCTGATGCCTGGGTTTCAAGCGACAGCGCTGAATCTAGGAAGACACCCAAGCTGCGGACCTGCGATTTCAGGGGGAGTGCAACCCCGTCAAGCGCAGGTTGCCACCTTATACCTCGATCCGGCCTACAATTCACCAAAAGGACCTCTGTCTTGTCAGGATTGATCCTCAACTTATTCGTCCGCATCCAGACAATCCAGACAATAGTAGAGTTGGGCGTCATCTGCATAGAGATGGCACCGAACTCCAAAACTCCGGATGCACACACAGAAAAAAAACATATATAGCAGTTTCAGAAGTGTTCTTTCAGTTGCTCAAAAACATAATACCCTCCCTTAAAACATCTTGGTTTAAATCATCCTCTCAAGAGGCAAAATTACAGTAGACTTCTTTAAAACTTGGTTTAATCTTAAACTTCATGTATTCAGCATACAGGTACATTATTTATTCATTAGTTCAGTTATAGATAGGATTTGAAATAGTTTCTCTGTGCAGATAACACAGGGCATATGTCTCATAATCAACAGTCCAAAGTCTAAAGTATCTCTCTGGTTTGAGAGTCTAATAAGGTCTCTGCTAGTCCAATGGAGTCAGTTCTCTAAAGCATAGTTTCTACTGACTTCTAAACTGTACTGTGTCTACTAAAGTCTACATTGAAAGTCTAATGGCTTCTGCCTTTCTAAAATGGAGTCTGAGTCCTGAATAGTCCCAGTTCTGATCACTTGGTCTGCAGCCCTTCCCACAACAAAGAGTTATGGAAAACTGCAAACCAATACACACATATAATACAGTATGCAAACTTAATTATACAGTATATGTAACAAATAACTATTATAGGAGACTTGTAGAAGGTGCTATTTCCAACAAACTCTCTGCAAAAGGATTGGTAAGGATGGTGAAGATGGCTTTTTGGCACTGTGGGAAAACTCTAAATGTTTGCCAGGAATGACTGTGTGAACGGATGTTGCACTGTGTTAGGTTATCAGATATTGAAATTGTGGGGAAACTGTAAAACATAATGTTGAACAATCCTACATTTTAATTTTAAAACATGCCGACGTTGAGTGTTGTAAAACTATCTACATTTTGAGAAAAATAAGTGATACTTCTGCTCTTAATCTTCTCAGGCGCAAACTTATTGAGAAGAATGAAGAGCTATACAATGAAAGAAGTGGTCTGTTTGAGCCATTCATATAAGACTACCAAAAGGAAAAAAACAGCAATTTTTCAAGGACCTATTTCTTCAGAGATTTCCAAATCTTCAGTATGAGGTTCATCTGAGTATTTACAAATATTTCTCACTATCTTGTTTCTTTATTGACTACCAGTTATTCACATGTCATGTTGTTTAGGCCTTCATCCGGGGGCAAAATGGTGTTTATATATGTAATAAAAAAACACTTCCCTGGCAGAGCAGGTAGGCATGTATAGCATCCACTTGAAAATAAAATGAAAGGGCTCAGCCGGACCAAACGGAATACAAGTCTTGTTGATATACATTGGGAAGAACTTAGCACAAACCTAACTGTCTCATGGGTGATCAATGGGATATTTGAAATATTAATTTATGTTTAAGATGATGCCTAGAAAGACGCATAGCACAGGTAGGTAATGGAGGATTCTGCAGAAGCAATTGAACGGTAGTTCTCACAAACCCCTAGCATTGGATAGACTTGGGACCCTTCCACACAGTCAAATGGGGTCTTTGTCTTTGAGGCTGAGAGATTGTGACTTGCCTAAATTCACCCAGGGGATTCAGAGCCACAGTCCAAGGTTAAAACCACTGGACTTCCCTTTTTTCTACTCCCTTTCTTGCTTTTCTTCCTTCTGTTTCCTAGCTACCTTTCTCTCTCCCTCCTTTTCCTACCTACCTTTCATTTTTGATCCATACCGGCCTCCTTTTCCTTCCTTCCTTTTATTTGCTTCCCTCCCCCCCCTTCTTTTTCCTTCCTTCCTCACCTTTTTTCCTTCTTTTCCCTCCCTCCTTTCCTTTCTTTTCCCTTCCCTTTTTCTCTCCTGCTCCCTTCCTTCCCTCCATTTTTCCTTTTCTACCTCCCTCCCTCCTTCCTCCCCAGATGCAAATGGCAGTGCAGTGTTCCCTCACTTATTGTGGGGGTTCCGTTCCAGGACCACCCGCAATAAGTGAAAATCGGCGAAGTAGGGACGCCATATTAATTTTTAATATTTATACATTTCCCATCGTGGTCAACTGTGAATAGCACATATGGTATTTCCTGCGCCTGTGCAGACAATTTGGAATCGTCTAGAAAACTTATTAGACACTTTTAGGCAGTAGCCAGAGTATATAACCAGTGGAAGGGGCTACTGCCTCAGTTCCTTTCCTCTGCCGCCACTGCAGCTAGGAATCTTTCTCTTCATCTTTGATTAGCGTTTCTGGACTGCGTGAATTTTTACTATTACCCGCAATAAGTGAAAATCCACAAAGTAGGGACCCCATATTAATTTTAATATTTATAATTTTTTTATATATTATTTTCCTACCTGCGCTTCCTTACCCGTCTCCCGGCTCATCCCAAGGACGCCTGCCTGCCTCCCTGGCCTCTACAGACCCCTGCAGGAAGCAGCAGGCCAGGGAGGCAGGCCTTCTCCACCGCAACTCAGACCACCGCACTTTCGGAGTCTGTGGAGGCCAGGGAGGCAGGCCTTCCATGCCGTGCCACAGGCCGCCATGCTTCCAGGATCCCAGGCCTCCACTGGACATACACATTTTATGTTTTATATTAATATTTTCAAAAAACCCGCAAAACAGCGAGTCCGATAAAAGCAAACTGCGAAGTGGCGAGAGAACACTGCAGTGTGAACAGTGATGCCAGTGGGATGCAAATTGACATTGAGAGAATTCCCAGCTAAATATTTTTCATTTGAATACTTTATTTCCTAGGGGAGATGCATCCCTTTGGCCACCTCCCTTACCATCAAGGTGGTTGATAACGGTAACAAAATACAGGAGAGCCTCTACAGAAGTACGTTTCAACATAAGTACATTTTAACTTACAGATCCTCATTCGGCCTAGAGTGACGTTTTGATATAAGAACAGTCTTTTGACCTACAAACAATTAAGAAGGGCAAAGTTTTCTTTGAGAAGAGATAATTACAAATTTGGGAATAAAAGATATACATGTTCAGTGTTAGTTTCCATGCTGGTTAGTTTCCATGCTGGAATAAAAGATATACATGTTCAGTGTTAGTTTCCATGCTGGTGCTATCTGCTTCAACCTTAATATCTCACCAGAGAATTTACCTCTCTGCTTTTATGATAGCAATAATAACTATTATTATTATTTAATGTCGAAGGCTTTCATGGGCAGGGTCACTAAGTTGCTGTCTTTTCCTGGCTGTATGGCCATGTTCCAGAAGCATTCTCTCCTGACGTCTCACCCACATCTATCACAGGCATCCTCAGAGGTTGTGATAATAAGTATCATTATTATGTCCATTTAAAAGTTTGAGCCAAGTCCATGCCAATCACACAATATTATTAATGTGTGATTTATACGAGGCCAGCTCAGGCCTCCAAATTCCATGTTGGAATATTCTCTCCTTGCAGGAAGTTTTTGAAGGGTTGTTCATCAGTAGATATCTTGTCAAAATGTCAATTTCACATATTTCACGTACTTTTACAATCCATTCTTCCATTTTTGATATCTTTTCTACTTTCCATGTCCACACATACACAATTCTAGCTGCAGTTGTCATCAACATTAAAAGTCTATCATATGTTGTCAAAAGTGATCTATCTGTTATGCCTAGTAAGAATGCCTCTGGATTTAAGGGCATTTTTAATTTTAATACTTTTACTATAAGTTTTATGGATCTCAATCCATATCTCAATCCATATCTCAATCCAAATGTTTTTTGCCTTCTTGCAGGACCACCACATGTGAAAAAATGATCCCATTGTTTACGTTTCCAGCAGGTATTTTTCAGTTGTCGCTGTATTTTGGCAGTTTTTACATTGCTAAAACATTTTGTAAAAGTTTTTCAACAGTGAATATTTTCTTCATTTTTTTAAAATTTTACTGTGACTTTCATAGTTCATCTTAAGGAACCCTCCTGGGTTCAAGGAACTCCCCTTACTGCCGATCCAAGAATTCCACAGAATGATGCTATGGCAACTAAACTGGAATCATAGTGGTATAAGTATGAAAAGCCCCCAGAAAGGACACAACGTGCCAACCCCCCGGTCTCTGATATGTCCAGTAGTAATGTGAGCCGCCCAAAGGCTTCAAAGGCCACGAGGAGTACTACGCCAACTCTTTGGACTAAGGCATGTAAAGGTCTGGGGTTTAGTTATTAGATAAGAGGTAGCACTGTACCTGAGAGACAGCAACAAACTGTAAAATAGTGTTTCCAATTGTAATTGTTTTCCAAAAAATAAAACACAATTCTGTTACACCTTAGACATTCCTATTGCTTTTTTCCTTTGAAATAAAGTATTTATTGTGTCTTAAGGCAATTGTGACGCCAACAAACATCTGATGATATCTGTTACAGCACTGACAAATTCATACCCATTTTCAGGTCCTTCTAGAAGCTCATAGGCAAGATGTGAAAGCGAAGCTCTTCTGCTAAAAAGAGGTTCAAAGGCCTAACCCAGGCATCCTCAAACTCCGATTCAGCTGTTTTGGGCTCCCAAAATCCCTTATCACTGAACTTAGCTAAGGCCTAAACAGCTGGAGGGCCAGAGTTTGAGGGTGCCTGCCCTAACCAGTATGAGAGAGGATGAGAAAAATTCAAGCAAAGAGAGGTATAACAAACACAATTCATGGTAGCTGTAGTTGATGACAACCAAGATTTCTTTAAAACGGCTAAAAGCTGAGAAGTTCCACTCTGAGTAGTGGTTTGTCTTCTTTTCTGTTGAATAACATTTTCCAAATGATCTGGGTGAATGCATAAGGCAAATCTTTTTCCCCAACAAAAACCAAATATCATAATATCTCGAATGCAGCGTTATTCCAAATGCTCCTTCTGTGACAGAAACGGTAGTATTTCTTTTTAAGGGATGGGGAATATCAGTTTTTTCCTGAGGGTGTAAGCTGGTTGCGGCATCTGTTTCTTTTGCCCTTGAGGGTCTGCACGTGTACTCACGTCAGCATTGACTTCTGTAAGGATGGACAATATGTCTTCGCCTCTGAAAGGAAACAACCAAAAGACAAAAATGACTTCCAGCATAATGGCCATTCACTTACATTGGCATAATTCTGAGTTCACAGTAGCATTAAATGACAAATGAGAGAAATGTATTAAGAGATTTTGAGCTTTGTAATGGTCTTGGGAGTTGTGTCCAGTACAGAATAAAAAACCTCACAACCTCTGAGGATGCCTGCCATAGATGTGGGTGAAACATCAGGAGAGAATGCTTCTGGAACATGGCCATACAGCCTGGAAAAATCACAGCAACCCAGAATGGAAAGTGTTTGAAGAATGGATTTCCTGCCAAGCCTATGCAACATCCATCCACCCAAAAAGTGAGCATTAAGTTGAACTATGGACTTCAAACTTGCTTCCTCCATGGCATGGTCCTAACTGGATGGGGGCAAGTATACTTCAAACGAGGAGGAGCTTGTGAAGTCCTGGCAATGGAGGAACCGGGACTGATATGCACACATTCTTTCAAAGAGTGCCCTGTCCTCTCAAGAATCATCTAATTCTGCATTGCCTTCAAGAAGTCATTAGACCAAAGATCCAACATAATCAGAGTAAGCTTTTTTTATTCTGAAAGCTATTAAGAAAAGAGCAGATTTCCTGAAAGAAGAACCAGGAAAATAAGGTTCTGACTATAAATAGAAGGTCAGCTGCTGTCCTCACATTTTTGCCTTGTTTTTTACTCGTGTTCTATTTTGAAATGGTCATATGACTAGTGAAATAAATAATATTTATTCTATTCTATTATTACTGTTATTACATTTCCATTATTTTACTCTATTATTATTATTATTATTATTAATAATAATAATAACAATACATTTATTATTTCACTGTATTATTATTGGAAAGATATGTAAGCACATTTATATAGAAGGAGGTTAGAATAATGGTTTAATCAGAGTTGGACAGTCTTATCTTAAATTACAGTTTTATGTCAATATTCAAAAACATTTAACCTATTGATGCCTCAATTAATGTCATTTAGAAATTTACCAGTAGCTGCTGCATTTTCCACCCTTGACTTACACTCGAGTCAATATGTTTTCCCAGTGTTTTGTGGTCAAATCAGGTGCCTCGACATATTTCGGTCACCTTATGCTCGAGAGTAATTCATCTGATCCTGGAGACTTGAATTCATTTAGAGTAGCCAGATATTCTTGTACGGCTTCTTTTCCTATTTGGTGCGGCATTTCCCCTACTGCAGCCTCTGCTCCATTCTCCCCAAGTTGAGCACTGTTAACCTTTTGGGAGAAGACTGGGGCAAATAAGGTCTTGAGCAGTTCTGCCTTTTCTCTTTGCCATTGCCTGTATGCAGTGACCTACTAGTTCCTTGTTCTTCCTTTTGCTACCAGCATAACAACGCTTTTTATTGGGGTGTTGCATGATTTCCAGGCTGTATGGACAATTGGCCATGTTCTGGCAGCATTTTCTCCTGACATTTCACCTTTTGTACTTTTAACTCATCTAGTAAACTTGAGCTCATTCTGCACTTTAACTTTTATAACTTTCTCCCTGTATATGCTGGCTACTCATTTGAATGGATTGCATACTATCCTGAAATCCTGATGAGATGGACAAAGGGCACTAAATAAGAAAAATATCTAAATCACGCCATTAAAAACAGTAAGTGGAATCAAAAAGCATATTAGCAGAAATTTATTTTTGTGATAAGCTTTTGTTTTCTTCTTCTCCCACTATGCCTCCAAATCTGCTTTATAGTATCCTGTTGTGATGAATTCCCTACCTGTTAGGCTAGGAAAAGCCCAGGAAGTTTATTAGCCATTTTGGAAAGGGTGCCAGGGGCATCCATTTTAAAATCTCATTTCCTGAAGGGGGTGAGCTTAGGTATTTGGAGGGAAATGAGAGGAGTTAGTGATTGGCTGGGAGAGAGAGGGCGGAGCTTAACTTAGAAAAAGAAAAAAACGACTTTAAGGGGACGTTTTAAAACCTTGTCAGCTCAGATTGAATCTGGGTGTCAAAGGGAGGTGTGAGGAGTTTGGAGTGGTGAAGAGAGTAGTGAGAGAGGCCTGAAGTGGTCAGTTAGCTAGCAGAGATAGCTAGTGGGAAGATTACAGCTATTAGGGAAGATAGCTGGGGAGAGACAGATCCTAAAAGAAAAGGACTGTCTGGAGTTTGGGGTTATATTCAGAGAAGAAATCCTGTCAGTAATCTCTGGAGGGAGAAAGGAGTGTAACTTGCAACTAAGATTTGAACTGCTTAAAGAAACCATATGCTTTTAAGTCAATCTTTCAAACCTATTTTGTTCAAGTTCTCTTAAATAAACACCATTGTTTTATTGTTCACAACATCTGCCTCACGTGTGCCTCTGTGGGTGAMGATTTAAAGCAATTTCCTGCAGTAATCAAAGGTTTAATGGTGGCAGCGTATATTTTAAAGAAATCCTTTCAGTGTTACCTCAGTGCACAGACCTGAGTGCGAATCCAGCACATTCTAGCTAAAGATACCTGTTGTAAGCCAAGGGCTTAACATTGCATATGTTTGGTGGGCTTTCAAAAGGTTATCCGGCCAGAAGAAAGTTCCAGCTTCATTACAGTTTTTTGATTTTGGGTTTTAATTACCTAAGGCCACATTCCATTACAAGTGGTGCACAGCATTTGGGATTTTATACACCCCAATAAAGCCTCCATCCATTATATTTGGTTTGCAGCAGTTGGGATCTGTTCACAAATAAATCCTTAACCTTTATAACTGTCAAGCAAATTTTGAATGTATATGTCTTGGCTACAGCAGGAAGGGGAAATGTTATACTGACTGGTGCCATCCTATTAGCAGGGCAAACTCATTTGCATGTTTTTGAACTGCTAGGTTGGCGGAAACTGGAGCTAACAATGGGAGCTCACTTGAACCGCTGACCTTTTGGTCAGCAAGTTCAGCAGCTCAGCGGTTTAACCTGCTGTGCCACCGGGGGTGAATATTACTCCTAGCTATTTATGAACACACATTGGTCTTATATCAAAAACATCACATTTAAGAAAGGCAAAGGCTGTGTCATATTGTAAGAATTACCTTGGCACCAGGGTCCGGAGCTTGTCGCACAGAGCCTGAATGTACCACGCGCCCTGATGGATGTGCCGGTAGGAGAGGTAGCCATCCACAGTGGCCATGCCAAGCAGAAAGTCTGCTTCTTCGGGAATGCTCGAAGCCATCTGCTGCAAAAGTAAAGACCCTGAAGATTGTGCATCTTCACTAAGGTGAACACAATATGTGTCGTCCGATTCCAGATAAACTGGTTGCTGTGTCTTTTCTCCTTGACATGCCTGGATGAAAAAGAGCTTGGGCTTTTTGGCTAGTTGGGGACACTGTTTGGCAGTGAAGTAGGACATGATATCGCGGATTGGAATACAAACTCCGTCGGTCCCAAAAATCTTTCCGGATTCACCATGAGACAAAATGCAGCATACTAGGCAGTCCATGTCTTTCCACTTTTCAGAAGTCTGCCACTGCTTCAAATGGTTCTCCATCTCTGATGCGGTTGTGTCATTGTACTTGATCACTTCTAGCCCAAGCCATCTAAATACTGATTCCAGCTCCTCTGTTAAAAGAGAGCAGGAGAAATGAGAAATTAAGAGAAAATAATGGCAAAATACAACCAGACAAGTGTTACAATTCAAAGAAAAATTCAAAAATGTGTTTTTAAAAAGGTCCTGCTGTTTTTCTGCACTGTTAGAATAAAATATTTGTGATAGAATTACAAATAAAATGTGGATCAGGCCATATTTCTGACAACTTGGCAGAATGTGTTATATATGTTGTCGAAGGTTTTCATGGCCAGAATCACTGGCTGGTTGCTGCCAGGGCCAGCTAACACCACCCAACAAAAGATTCCCCCAGGCAGCAACCAGCCAGGCTTTGAAGCTGCAAGGCTATTCAATGCTAATCAAGGTTGCCAACTGCAGCATTCACACTTGCCTCAAACAGACAAAGAGTTATTTCTTCCACCCGGGACATTCCACAGATAGATAAGCCTCCCTTGCCTTGTTTCCAACAGACCTCACAACCTTTGAGGATGCCTGCCATAAATGTGGATGAAACGTCAGGAGAGAATGCTTCTGGAACATGGCTGTGCAGCCCGGAAAACTCACAGCTACCTATTTTTAATATATGTTTTGTAGGCCCCCTCCTGTTTATTTATTGGACTTTTATTCTACCTTCCTCCAAAACAGATTTAACTTTTTCATATTTGAATCTTTCCACCCCTCGACCTTCATATGATCAAGAGGAAGATCTGAAGGCATATGATTACCTTCTTCAACTGAACAGACATACAATCCTTACCATTTGCAACAAAATGACCCTGAGTGGGGACTTTTTTTCGTGTCAGGACTGACTTGAGAAACTGCAAGTTGGAAGGATTGATTCCAAAACTATTAGAAGTGTATAACGGAATGATGAAAGGAGAGAAGATGCCAGAATCATGGAAGAAGTCAATAATATTAATACCAAAACCTGATAAAGATTTAACAGACCCAGGCTCTTATAGGCCCATATCATTAGTTAATCAGGATGCAAAGATTTTATTTCCTATAATAGCCAATAGAATGAATAAATGCATGCACAAGTATATAAAAAAAGATCAGTGCGGGTTTGTAAAAGAAAGACAAACGTCAAATTTGATAGGGAGAGTATTAAATAAAATTTGTGTGGTTCAAGAGAGGAAGATAAAAGTAGGGATATTATTATTAGATATTTTTAAAGCTTTTAATTGTGCAGAATGGTGGACATTGAGGGAGATTATGAACAAATTTGGAATGGAAAGTAGAATAAAAGGAATATTAACAATATTATTCAAGAAATTCAGCAGTAGTAGCTATAAATGATGGAGTGACAAAAGAAATAAAAGTGACAAAGGGAACAAGACAAGGTTGCCCTCTATCACCAATTTTGTTTGCCATGGTGATAGAATTATTTGCAAATGCCATTAGGAAAGATAAGAACTTAGAAGGGCTAGGAATAAAGGAAAAGCAGAAGGTGAGCTTATTTGCTGATTATACATTGTTATTTATTGAAAATATAGTAAGTAAAATGGATAAAATAAAGGATCATTTAGAGATATTTGGGGGAAAATGGGACTACAAGTTAACTGTAATAAATCAGAAATGATGTTATTTAATTATACAAAGAAAGAAGAAAAAGACTTTATAGAACAGAGCAAAATGGGAATTAGAATTAAGAATAAATTAAAATACCTGGGAGTAATAATAACAAAGGACTTAAAAGAAATGGAAGAGGTAAACGTAGTAGCATTGAAAAACATAGTTCAAAAAAATTAATAGAGTATGAAAATATACATTTATCTTGGTTTGGAAAGATAGCATTATTAAAAATAAAAATACTTCCGAAGATAAATTTTATATTTAGGATGCTGCCACTTCAAATTACAGAAGAGCTAAATATATGGCAACAAATGATAAATAAGTATTGTAACGGTAGTAAAAGAAATAGATTAAACAAACAGTTATGGCACAGATCGTAAAAAGAGGGAGGATTAGCACTCCCTAATATTAAAAAATATTATGAAGCGAGCAGATTAAGATTGATTATAGAAGGAATGATAAAAAAGAGAGTGTAGATTGGGTAAGAAAGGATTTGGAAGAAGTGGAGGAAGAAATTTGGAATATCTATTTTAAACAGTTTATGAGAGCCAGCAGTCCTGCCGGCACAAGAGTTTAACCCATTGTGCCACTGGGGGAATACAAAAATAGCATGGCCTGACACACATCTATTGCTGAGTAAATTGTTCCTATTTCATTGTCATGTTAAAACTTTCAGATCAGGTAAGCTTCCCATTCATACAAGCAAAAAGATAAAACACTGATTCTAGAGGCACAGGTTTCCATACGCTGAAACCACTGAAAACCTGCAGGTTAGCCATTATTTTTCTTGCAAAGCACCTTTCAGAATAGTAAGTCCAAACAACAATGAAGGACAAGATGATGCCCAAAGGCAAGCATTTCTACAGCAGGGAAGATACTGACCGGCATCTTTCTGGGATCCATGTCGCGGCTTGAACTCCCCTTGAAAATCTACATTATTAAAAATGAGACACGAGCCCCTGTGCAGCCCATTCATTTTGTAGCACGCTGATTTCTGCAGAATGAGTAAGAAAACAGGGAGAACATAAGAGGGATATAAGATTTTCATAAGTTTAGCCATCAATTCCAGCTTGGAGACACATTTAAATGTCTTAAAATCGAATTCTTAAATGTTGGTACTAACATTTGTATTGCTTTTGTGCCAGCGCTTTTGATCCTTGGCCAAATATCCTCTTTTGGCAAGAATGGCTGATTCCACACAATCTTCCTCCTCTCTGAGCATTTTCTCACAATGTAATTATAGCAGCTTGACACAACTTTGACTCCCTTGGCTCCATCTGCTGTTTGCTGAGATTTGTAGTTCAACGAGGAACTAGGAAATCCCCAGCAGTCTCTTGAATTATATCTTTCTCAAACGACTAATCCTAGGATTCCATAGGAAACAACCATGAAGTTAAAGTGGTATCAATCTATATAAATAAAAATGTAATGTTTGTTTGTGATATTCACAGAACTCAAAAACCACTGGGGGAATTGACACCAAATTTGGACATGATACACCTAACAACCCAATTTATGTTCTCCACTCAAAAAAAAAAAACAAACAATAATGAACTGGAAAGAACTTACCCCCACAAGGCTAAATGCCTATATAGAGCCTGTGTTAAAAGAACACTCTCCCTCGCTCCTGCACGAGGGAAAAAAAACCCAACTGCTGAGAGAGAGAGGGAGGCGCGGCACAAGAGAGGGAAAGGTGGCCGGTACCCCCTGCCTCTCTCTTCCCAAAGGATTGAGAGAGAGAGAGAGGGAGAGGGAGGGAGGGAGAGTGTGTTCCTTTTCTTCTTGCCTGGCTGCCTCTGCTGGGCTGCTGGGAACTCAAAGGGATTCTGTGTGTGTGTGTGCCCACAAACCTCACCCATACTCAGTTATGGGAAGGCATTCTGGGAAATGAAGTCCAGTATTCAAAGAAGGGACAAAAAGGCACGTTCTGTGAGTTAGCAAAGGCTGTCCAGGAAGGCAGAATCAAAACACTCCCAAAAGATGGCCATCCATTTTTACTTTATAGCAACCCTGGGCTATAATATATGTACAATAATAATAATATCTATATATCCATCATAATAATATCTATCAATCCCTAATAATATATATGTCTATGATATCTATGTCTTTAACAATAATAACTACATTTCTATCATAATATCTATGTTGTTCATTCGTTCAGTCGTGACCTCATGGACCAGCCCATGCCAGAGCTCCCTGTCGGCCGTCACTACCCCCAGCTCCTTCAAGGTCAGTCCAGTCACTTCAAGGATGCCATCCATCCATCTTGCCCTTGGTCGGCCCCTCTTCCTTTTGCCTTCCACTTTCCCCAGCATAATTGTCTTCTCTAGGCTTTGCTGTCTCCTCATGATGTGGCCAAAGTACTTCAACTTTGTCTCTAGTATCCTTCCCTCCAATGAGCAGTCTGGGCTTTATTTCCTGGAGAATGGACTGGTTGGATCTTCTCGCAGTCCAAGGCACTCTCAGAACTTTCCTCCAACACCACAGCTCAAAAGCATCGATCTTCCTTCGCTCAGCCTTTCCTAAGGTCCATCTCTCACATCCATAGGTTACTACAGGGAATACCATGGCTTTGACTAGGCGGATCTTTGTTGCCAGTCTGATGTCTCTACTCTTTACTATTTTATCGAGATTGGACATTGCTCTCCTCCCAAGAAGTAAGCATCTTCCGATTTCTATATTCTGTAATAATGTCTGTATGCCTATAATAATATCTACAGGTCTATAATAATAGTGCCTTGGAAACACTGTAAACAAACTGGAACGAGGGGTGATGTTGCTGGGGATATAGCTATACATTTTGCACCAAATACTCAGAAGTGACTTTTCCTCTAACCTGTAACAATCTGGAAATAAATAAATCTATTTCAAGCTCTGGAGGTGAGTAGGTTTCACTCTAGAGACTTGCAGTTCCTGACAGCTGAGCAGCATTGCCCTATGACATTCACATCATGACCAACCTTCACCCCCATTTCTAAGGGAACAACTTGGCAAACGGCACCTTTCTAGCTACCTCTAACAATACAAAGCCAGGACTCAGGATTTGTACACACAACAGCAGACACTTCGTTAGTAGATATGATTTATGCTACTACAAGTCAAGGAGGTGAATAGCACGGGGCTAGAAAGAGTTATTTGGACGCTTAATAATTAGGTAAAATAAAGCTTACTAAATTATTCTTAAACGTTCAAACGTTCTTTGGAAGCTTTTAAGCAGAGGCTGGATGGCCATCTGTCAGGGGTGATTTGAATGTAATATTCCTGCTTCTTGGCAGGGGGTTGGACTGGATGGCCCATGAGGTCTCTTCCAACTCTTTGATTCTATGATTCTATGTTATTAGGTAAAATTAGGTAAAATAAAGCTTACTAAGCAGAATTTAGTTTATGGAAGGCAAATGACTAGCTGCTTATACTTGGATATTAATTAAAGTATAGAAGATGCCAAACCTCTGTAGCAGGTTTTGATTTCTCATCTCCCATAGGCTGCTCTGACGGGCCTGAAACAATTCCTGTTTTGACATCTAGAAAGCAATGACAAACAAATGGGCACTTTAGAAATCATGATGTGTTTACATTTCACAACGTACATTTTATTAGAATATCGCCATCAGTTTAAGGCCATAATAACAGTTGTAATGTCATCAAATGGTAAAATCATTCACTCAGTATCTTTCTTTCCTCATGCACCCTTCAAGATTAAAGACAACAAAACAACAAATGTTTTCATTACTGACCAGCTAGCACTGTCCTTAGTGACAAAGGGTTTTTTTTTTGCCAAAAATAACTCAAGCAAATAAACTGCTTGTTTATTTGATGCACCTTCCTCTTGGCACGTTTCCCTCTTTCGCCCTCCATTTGTGCCTCTTCAAATTCTGAAGCACTGCTGGTCACAGCTAACCTCCAGCTGGAGCGCTCACAGTCCAGGGCTTCCCAGTTCTCAGTGTCTATGCCAGAGTTTTTAAGGTTGGCTTTGAACCCATGCAATAGCCATGACAGGATCAGGTGGGAAAAATGAGATTTTCAAAAAGCAAGATCTTAATTTGAGACATTTCTGACATGAGAAATCCCAATCAATGTAACGTGAAAAGATATTAGCAAGGATAGTGACGGGGACAACGGACAAGGACCTGATTTCATTTGCTTAATAAATAGCAATAGTATGAAGAACACGTATGATTAAATAAATAGTCTTAGTCTTCTTAGTGTTAGAAGAGATCTATTGAAGAGTCTGCCATGAGAAAACACATGAAAAAGGCTCACATAAGCAGCAGCACCACCAAATGGGAGCAATAAACAACCCATCGCCTTCCTTAGTTATGCAAGGAAGGTCTGCATGGGAATGTCGAGCCAGAGCAAGGCAATAAACATCATGAAGGAAAAAAGTTCAAAACAAGGATAGTATTTTGATTTTGAGAAATTGGACCAAAAGGGTGCCTCAAAGGAAGGGAGAAGGCTCAAACCATATTGAATGATTGTAATCGGGAAATTGTGGGGAAATTGCTTACTTGAACTATTTGATAAACAACTAATCAAAGTACCATGTACAAGATGAAAGGGGAATAGAAACATGATGAAAGGGAAAAGGGGCAAGAGAAAGGAATAATAATAATAATAATAATAATAATTATTATTATTATTAATGCCCCACCACGATCTCCCCAAAGGGGACTTGGGGCAGCTAACACGAGGCCAAGTCCAAAAATAATACAGCAAAATAAGATACAAAACAACAGAAAATTAAACACAACAATTAAACACAACAAAATACATAATGTAACAAAATAAAATAAACAGTGCAAAATGAACAGGGATAGCCAATATTCCAGAGGACAGGAGCAGAATTCAAAACGATCTTGACAGATTAGAGAGATGGGCCAAAACTAACAAAATGAAGTTCAACAGTGACAAATGCAAGATACTCCACTTTGGCAGGAAAATGAAATGCAAAGATACAGAATGGGTGACGCTTGGCTCGAGAGCAGTACGGGTGAAAAAGATCTTGGAGTCCTCGTGGACAACAAGTTAAACATGAGCCAACAATGTGATGTGGCGGCAAAAAAAGCCAATGGGATTTTGGCCTGCATCAATAGGAGCATAGTGTCTAGTCCAGGGAAGTAATGCTACCCCTCTATTCTACTTTGGTTAGACCACACCTGGAATATTGTGTCCAATTCTGGGCACCACAATTCAAGAGAGATATTGACAAGCTGGAATGTGTCCAGAGGAGGTGACTAAAATGATCAAGGGTCTGGAGAACAAGCCCTATGAGGAGCGGCTTAAAGAGCTGGGCATGTTTAGCCTGAAGAAGAGAAGGCTGAGAGGAGATATGAGCCATGTATAAATATGTGAGAGGAAGCCACAGGGAGGAGGGAGCAAGCCTGGAGACTAGGACGCACTGGAACAATGGCTTCAAACTACAAGAGAGGAGATTCCATCTGAACATGAGGAAGAACTTCCTGACTGTGAGAGCGTTCAGCAGTGGAACTCTCTGCCCCGGAGTGTGGTGGAGGCTCCTTCTTTGGAAGCTTTTAAACAGAGGCTGGATGGCCATCTGTCAGGGGTGATTTGAATGCAATATTCCCTTCTTGGCAGGGGGTTGGACTGGATGGCCTATGAGGTCTCTTCCAACTCTTTGATTCTTTGATTCTATGATTCTATGCTTCTTGGCAGGGGGTTGGACTGGATGGCCCATGAGGTCTCTTCCAACTCTATGATTCTATGAAAATAACATAATAAAAATCAAACAAAAAGGGCGGGCCAGATGTGCAAGATAAAATGTTAAAACCCTGGGTGAGATAGAAAATATGGAAAATGTATTTGTAAGGGAGGAGCCCGAGAAGGAGGAGCAGTGGGGTTTGGTCGTCGTTAAGGACAGGGGAAAAGTGCGGACAACTGTAGATGGAAACAAACAAAGTGGGTTGAATGGTCACTTTCTGAAGGCACAAAGAGGAATGAAGGTGCAAAATGTACTTGAATCCTATAAAAGCCTCAGCTGAGCTGTGTCTCGCAAATAAAGGCTGTCGTATCTCGCTTCTCCTCTGCCTCGCAGCACCTCATTGGAAATCGGGTCTCAGGAGGTTCCAGCGTTTGCCTTCTTAAAGGGGCATAGCAACTGAACCTCTATAATAGTAAAGCCTTTTTAAAAGCGGGAAGCCAGGGGCGCCTCAAAGAGAGGTTCTCTGGGATTTTTCCAAAGTGATGGTCTTTAGAGTCTTTAATGATACAACAAAGTCTTTATTATGGAACAAACAACAAATCTTCAATGGTTCAAACAAAACTTCAAGGCTTTCTTAGTCTAGTCCTCAATGGGCTGGTACCTGACTTTGATTAACTGAACCTTCCCTGTAGGAAAAACCCCTTTTAACCTCTCCCAGGCTGTTTACAATCTATGCCTCATCGGTGTGGGACCTATTACCGATTCCAAATGCGTTTGGGTATCGAGTAGACCTACCAGCCGAGGCTTGAAGATATTTCAGCTGGAGTTCCATGGATTTGTAGTGCTGTCCTCCTTCAGAGAATTCTTTGAGAACTTCAGGGCTGTTTTCCCTCTGGTTGCTGTGAAGCTGAGAGGCTGTGAGCTCTCAGCCAGAGCCTTGGGACCTTTTCCCTGGAATTTCTGTTTCTGTTTCCCCGGATGATCTGTTTCCCTGGATGCTATTGAGAAAAGAAGCTTTTCTACGGGACGAGCTGGTCTACGTCCTACAGTTTAGCTTCCTTGTGTGAGACTGCCCAAAAAATGGCTCCTTTCCCTCCCAGAGCCCTGAACAAGGGGCGGAACCAAAGCTTAATTATGATGGACAGGAGGCCTGCCCTAGGACTGCAAACAGATAACAGAAAGAAAATAAAGTTGGAGCTTCTGGTACAGCCGTACCAGCACAAGGTGTATTAAACTGCAGAAACTTTGTTTTTGTGGGACAGCCTGAAGCATATTTTGCTATAGTTTTTCAATGAATAGATCTTATCGAGTCTCAACCAATTCAACATAGTTTGTGGCAACCACAAAGTTTCTGGAGTATTACAACTACTTTCAAAGTAAGTACTACACAATTAAACAGGTATAACACTTTCAAACCAGGAACAGAATCAAGTAGGCTAGGGATATATTTGCAGAATTAGAAGAGATCACAAAGCAGAATACCTGAGATCCATACCTCCTTTTCCTTATTCTCACACATCCTTGCAACTAAACATCATAAAATAATACAAGCCAGCACCCAGAATAACAATCTCATTACTGACCTTGATTTGCAGGCAGAGAATTGTACACTGCACTGTGTTCTCTCAGGCTCCCAAATTCCTCCGAGTAAGAATCTACTTTGAAAGGAAAGAAAAATGAGCACAACTTACAATATACTTGTTGTATTTCACAGTTCATTACTCCAGTTACCTATGTCATCAAAAGTAATTCTGGCCAAGATATACAGAGAGCATTGGTGGCTAGGGGGCAGGGAGGGTCCAGCTTAAAAACATGGAACTGTAGGGAAAATTTTGGAACGTATCTTTTTCAGGTGGCAGATCAATTTGGCCAAGGACGTTCAAAGAGAGAGATGTCTCACTAGCCTGTGTGTGCAAACAGTCAATTGAATTTTTTTTTGTTGTGTCAGGAGAGACCTGAGAAACTGCAAGTAGCTTCTGGTGTGAGAGAATTGGCCGTCTGCAAGGACGCTGCCTAGGGGACGCCCGGATGATTTGATGTTTTTATCATCTTTGTGGGAGGCTTCTCTCATGTCCCCGCATGAGGAGCTGGAGCTGATAGAGGGAGCTCATCCGCCTCTCCCCAGATTTGAACCTGCGACCTGTCGGTCTTCAGTTCTGCCATCACAGGGGTTTAACCCACTGCGCCACTGGGGGCGCTTATTCTGCTTATTCTGTTGGCATTGCTTTTTATATGACCACAGTTGGCGTAATGGGTTAAATCTTGTGCTGCTGGATCTGCTGACCTGAAGGTTGGCAATTCGAAGCTGCAGGTTGGGGTGAGCTCTCGCTGTTAGCCCTAGTTCCTGCCAACCTAGCAGTTCAAAAACATGCAGATCAATAGGTACCACTTTGGTGGGAAAGTAATAAAGACACCCATGCAACCATGCCGGCAACATGACAAGAGAAGTGTCTACAGAGAGAGGCGCCTTGGCTTGGAAGTGGAAAAAAAGCATCTCCCCATGGCCAGAGTTGAGCACCACCCCCAGAAGCCAGAGATCAAAGGGGAAGCCTTTATCTTTGTCTGTGTAATTGTATGTGATTGTTATTTGCTGTATTAAAGGCACTGAATGTTTGCCTATCTGTGTATGTTGTAATCCACTCTTGAGTCCCCACAGGGAGATAGGGTGGAATATAAATAAAGATTATTACTATTATCATTAGAGCAGAATATAAATAAAGTGTTGTTGTTATTATTATTATTATTATTATTATTATTATTATTATTATTATTATGACTTGATGACAAAAAAATGTTTGTTTTTTTTGTGTCAGGAGCAACTTGAGAAAGTCGCTTTTGGTGTGAGAGAATTGGCCGTCTGCAAGGATGTCGCCCAGGGAACGCCCAGATGTTCGGATGTTTTATCATCCCTGTGGGAGGCTTCTCTCATGTTCCCGCAAAGGGGAGCTGGAGCTGATAGAGGGAACTCATCCGCGCTCTCCCCGGATTCAAACCTGCGACCTGTCAGTCTTCAGTTGTGTTGGCACAAGGGTTTAAACCTCTTGCGCCACCGGGGACCACAGAGATGAAGTGTACCACTACAGTTCTCTGCTTAGGTATCCCTTTAAGACAGTCTATGACCCTGGGAGCATGCCACAACAACAACGATGTTGACCAAAACATGCATCTACATGGGAAAATTAGGGAGACCAGCCCACTGTTTTCAACAACAAAACTTACCAAGTTTTTTAACTGGATACAGGAGAGGATCTCCCTGTTTGGAAAAAGAAAAACAGACAGATATCATAGCACTGTAATCTTATACATGCCTACTCAAGTCATGCCTACTCAGATGTATATCCCACTCAATTCAACAAGGCTTATTCCCAATTAAGTGGAAACAGGAACGCAGTCTAAAGCAGTTTAAGACTTTGCTTGTAAATATTCTATGCAAAGCTTTGGCCAAAAGAGGAAGATAGTCAACATGAATATCAGATAACAGAATATATTCAGTATGACCCCCATACAGGACAGGTACCCACAATTTCATTTTCCACATCCAAGAAAATATGTCTTCTCTAGGCATTTTGTAGGTCCTCAATCACAACTCCATGATATATTGGACTCAAAGGCCTTCGTTTCAATAGTTTAGTATTTTCTACATTTCTGCATATCTATGTATAGCCTGGAAATGGACTCCCTGCAGACCTGGGGGTCGCACCATATATCACATGTAGAGCAGTGCTCCCAACTTTCTATTTCACGTCCATCTCTCTCGTCATCACAATATTCCTCTGAATCTGTTGACTACACAGGAATGCTTCTATCTCCCATAATGGAAAGTTCATATTTTAAATAATTTTTATATAATGAATCAGAAAAATTGCATGCCTGTACCTTCACATATCTTAATAAAATAATTACAGCTTCCTGAAAGTGAACATTGGATGGGTCCGGTTGTGTGCATGAACATCTTCCAACAAGTTCATAAGTTTGGCTTCTCCAGAAACAAAATCAGCTCATAACATTATAAAGAGTTGTCTCTGGTGACTGAATTTAAAGCAGCCAATTCACAGCCAGAACAGACACGGCAGCTCAAAGAAGGGCCAAAGAAGAGCAAAATCACTATCCAGGAGCGCAATGTTTTCTATTTGTTCAGATCAGAGACTCTTACATTTGAACAAAAATAAACATTATGTATACAACTCTGTTTTTCTTCAGAGTTCCTCTCAAAGAAGGTGATTGGAAGTGATGTCATACCTGACAAAACTAAAAATCTCTGAAATGTTTTGGAGGGCTTTCTATGTAAGCTTTCACACAAAAGGTGCCTCAAAATTTGACTAAATATATGGAAGACATTGGCGGGCAGCTACAGCTTTTGGGGGACTGGTGAGAGTTTTGCAAAAGTAGATCCAGGAGCTCAAGACTTTCACATCATCTAGTTTCAATTGATATTGAATGAATGTCGCAATTACAGGCTGTATACTGATGTTTCAGGGTTTTCTTAATGCTAAAATGTTGATGTCTACCAACTAAAGCCACATTCAAAAATATTTAAAAATGGGAGAATCAATGAACTATCGTGTCATTTTGTAAAGCTATGTGACATGGTGCACCATAGATTTTTTCCTAATGTTTCAGGGACTGATATCATATTTGTGCCCATTGACTACAACTGTTTCCTTTTTCCTGGAAACTCTCTAACTTTCATCAACTGGCACAGATCTATGGACACCCACTTCAAATAACCCTAACCCTATACGAGGGTGTACATAAAGCTATATCTGAGTTATATTATATACTAGCCGTCACCTTCCATATGTTGCTGTGGCCCAGTCTGTGTATATGTGTTTTGTGTGTGTATATATGTGTATATGTGTGTTTGCATATATGTGTGTGTGAGGTTTTGTGCATGCATTGTAATGTGTTTTTTTTGCTTGTTAAGACTCTTCTGCTGTGTTTTTCAGTGTTTTTGTGAGTGATGATCACTTGTTATCATAATCATAGATGAAGGACTTTAATGTAGCCTTGACCAGCAGAGACTTGTTAAAAGTAATCAATCAATGCACCTATTTTGCACATGAGGAACACTGAGGGCTAGAGATAAGCAATTACCCCTGTAAGTTTCTTGCATCCTCATTGAAACTGGAGATCCATAGAGATCTACATACTGCAAACCACTGAGAGATTTACCAAAAGATCTAAATGCAATACAATTCCTCCTTCCCAAAAGAAAGCTTAAAATCTAGGTTATCCTTTGGAACTGATTTAGTGGATATATTTTGCTTAAATAACTAAGCCTCTAGGAATCCACTAGAGAAAGGACAGCTTACAAACAAATAAATACCAAATACACTCGAGTATAAGCAGACTCAAATATAAGCTGAGGCACCTAATTTTACCATAAAGAAACTGTGGGAAAGCATTGGCTCGAGTATAAGCTGAGGATGGTAAATGCATCAGCTACTGGTAAATTTCAATATTTTTTTTGTCGTGTCAGGAGCGACTTGAGAAACTGCAAGTCGCTTCTGGTGTGAGAGAATTGGCCGTCTGCAAGGACGTTGCCCAGGGGACGCCCAGATGATTTGATGTTTTTATCATCCTTGTGGGAGGCTTCTCTCATGTCCCCGCATGAGGAGCTGGAGCTGATAGAGGGAGCTCATCTATCTCTCCCCGGATTTGAACCTGCGACCTGTCGGTCTTCAGTCCTGCCGGCACAGGGGTTTAACCCACTGCGCCACCGGGGGCTCCAATAAACACCAATAAAATTACATTAATTGAGGCATCCGTAGGTTAAATGTTTTTGAATATTTACATAAAACTTTAAGATAGGACTGTCCAACTCGGATTAAACCATTATTCTAACCTTCTTCAATGTAAATGTGCTTATATATCTAACAATAATAGAGAGTAAAATAATACATGTAATAATATAAAGAATAGAGTAAAATAATAAATGTAATAAAATAATAGAGTAAAATAATAAATGTAAGAATAAAAATAATAAATGTAGGAATAATAATAAGAGAGTAAAATAATAAATAACTTTGACTCAAGTATCAGATAAGGGGGGCTTTTTCAGCCTAAAAAAAGGGTTGAAAAACTCGTCTTATACTCAAGTATATAGAGTAAATCAAGTTTCTCTGAATTCCATTACATAACCTTTTTCCATAGACCACGTTCCGATCATGGCTGAACAGACCCTTAAATACCAACTATATAACATCTGATGGTTTGTGGACTGACACCGATACACAGTCTACCACAGTAAAACTGGATAAAAATATCAAACAGAGATTACAAACAACAAAATGAGGCTGTTTCCTTATAGCATACCCAGAGTGAAACATCTCCAAATCCAGGAAGAGAAGAGTGTCCAATACCTTTGTTTTCTATATGAGATGCTGAGGATTACAAGAGAACAAAAAATAAGTAAGGTCTGAAATATTGCCGAGTAAGAATTAGGCCTCTTTATGCTCAATATGTCCAGGCAGAATGATATTGAAAATACACAACCCTTAAAGATTAGCTGTGGCTGCAATTCTATAAAATGACTTGGGAGCAAACCTCACTGAATCTAAGACAGCTTATTTACAAGTAGAAATAGGTATGACCGCACTTTACAAGCAACACTTCCTAAACTATCAAAAGCAGGAGACCAGCAAATTTAGATCCCAATGGGCTAAGGGACTGGTACCCTGCTGATACAATAATTTCCATGACTGAGTGGCATTTCGAAGCCTGGTCTACCGAGACATAATCCAAGGCTCAAAATATGCTGGTTGTGCTTAGTAAAGGGATTTCAACCTTTCAAATGGGGAAACAAAATGCTTAAAAGGCTGGGAAATCCCCAAAGGATGACATGTTATTGAAAATGTGTTAGAGAAACCACACAGGACCAGAATGATTCACGAAGACGGCTGGACACAATCCCAGGCCTGAAGTTTCTCAGCCATGCTTCGGCATGCCTCAACATTTGCTTCTGCTTCATACCAAATATTCATGCTCACTGTAGAAATATCCACTTCTGGTATCTGAAGAAATATGCCGTTACCTCCAAATGTGTTTATTGTAGCAATATTATCCTCAAAAGATACTTTTATCAAAGAATGGGAGTTCAGGGATGGAGCACATACGTTATACTCAGTTGTATTCCATTCACCCAGGCTAAAAAAATTGGATTGGGGGAGAACCTTGATTGTTTCTTGGTTTCTTTTAAAAATGCCTTTTCTGACCAAAAAAGGGTACAGAACTTCCTGAAGTATATGTTCACTGCCAATTTTTTGGGATACTATCTGCCACTTTCTCATCCACCTATTTTCCTTCAAAGTTCTGGGGTTTGAGGGAAGTTCAAAAGGCTGTACTAAGGGCACACGCTCCACCTATCCCTGCCCCAAAGGGCAGTGTTATTGGAGATTTTTGTGTGTGTCAGGAGCAATTTGAGAAACTGCAAGTCGCTTCTGGTGTGAAAAATTAGCTGTCTGCAAGGACATTGCTCAGGGTATGCCCAGATGTTTTACCATCCTGTGTGAAGCTTCTCTCATCTACCTAAATGGGAAGCTGGAGCTGACAAACAGGAGCTCACCCCATTCCCTGGATTCGAACCACTGACCTTTCAGTCAGCAGTCCTGCCAGCACAAAGGTTTAATCCAGTGGTTCTCAACCTGGGGTCCCCAGATGTTTTTGGCCTACAACTCCCAGAAATCCCAGCCAGTTTACCAGCTGTTAGGATCTCTGGGACTTGAAGGCCAAAAACATCTGGGGACCCCAGGTTGAGAACCACTGGTTTAATCCATTGTGCCAACGAGGGCTCTACACTTTACAGTCCTGCAGGAGGTCAACATACTCCTAATAATTGTCACCCGCCTTTCCTCACGCCTCAAGGCAGGGTACAAGACCATCAGAACATAAAATACTTACAAAAAAATACATATATCAAAACATCCCATGATAAAATACACACACCCAAGCACATGGTACAAAGATCAAAATACATTGGGCATAGAATGCAGACCCAAAAGTTATGGTTCAGAATTGGCTGAGCAGGTCTGCCAGAAGAGGTAGATCTTTAACTGTGCCTTAAAAGTTTGACAGCTAGTGATAATGTATGCATGATGGAAATAATAATAATAATAATAATAATAATAATAATAATAATAATGTATTGACAGCTCCTTTAGCTTCCAGAGCATGACAGTTAAAGCGGCAGTTAAACAGCATTGATTCCACAGCGGAAAGACATTCTATGCCTGCCTAGTCTATCTCTAGCTGGACGTTTCTGGCAGCATCCACATTGAGAGGATGACGACGGAGGCCTGTACAAAAAGCCGTTTGGTGACAACTGGTAGGAATGGGGTTTTCAAAACCCTTTTTGATAAGGTGCTGTGTAGAACGGTCCCCACAATCCAAGAAGAAAGGCCCTTAGCGGACATGTACATGCGTTCAAAGAGCTTAATTCAGGACGGGGGTGAAGAGGTAGAAGAAGGTGCCGTCTATCACGTCACCCTCAAAAGAGTACAGATTCAACAAGCTGCAAGTAAAGCAGCAAGATGGCTTGGGATTGAATGGGACCAACTGCCCCCAGATCATGCTGTTAGCATATGTGAGACATGTAAGATAAGGTCAATCAAGGCTGGCACTCTGGAGAAGCTGGTGGAGAACCTGTTGACAGCTTTTGGGGACCATGACTTCACCTTCCTCAATGTATTTCTGTCAACGTATCGAGGCTTTGCATCCACAAAAGAAGTTCTGGATTTGATCCTTGACAGATATGGAAACCTGGAAGAAGACGGAAGCCAGAACTCTACTGAAAGCAAAACAGTCCTCAGGACAGCCATGGCCTCCGTTTTGAGAGCGTGGCTAGACCACTGCCCTGAAGACTTCCGAGAGCCCCCCAATTACCCTTGTTTGCAGAAACTCTTGGCTTTTCTGTCACGGGTCATGCCAGGGTCGGGACTTGAAGGAAGGGCACAAAACCTGTTGGAGCAATTTCAGAAGCCAGAAGTCGTGAATGGCGGGATCCGTGACACCCTTGCCAATGTGGAAAAACTAGAGACTGAGAGTTCAGAAGATTTCTCCTCTTTCGCTGAAGCCTTTGTGGCAGAACAGCTCACCTACATGGATGCCAAACTGTTTCAGAGGGTGGTGCCATATCACTGTTTGGGCAGCATCTGGTCTCAGAGGAATAAGAAGGAAAACCACCACGTGGCCCTCTCCATCAGAGCCACCATTGCACAATTCAATGCCGTGACCCAATGTGTCATCCAAACCATCTTGAAGGACAAAGAGYTGACAACCCAGCAGCGAGCCAAGATCATAGAGAAATGGATCAGTATTGCCCACGAATGCAGGATCTTGAAGAATTTCTCCTCCTTGAGGGCCATCGTTGCAGCACTGCAATCCAACTCCATCTACCGGCTAAAAAAGTGTTGGRCCAGCGTTGCCAAGGACAGCATGTTGATGTTTGAAGAACTGTCAGACATTTTCTCAGACTCTGACAACTATTTGATAAGCCGGGAGCTGCTTAAGAGGGAAGGAACAGCTAAATTTGCAAATTTGGACAGCACTGGAAAAGAAAACCAGAGAAGGGCTCACCGGCGACTTCAGCTGCAAAAAGATATGGGCATAATGCATGGCACGGTTCCTTACCTTGGGACCTTTTTGACTGATCTGATAATGCTCAATGCCGCTCTACAGAACTATGTGGAAGGGGGACTCATAAATTTTGAGAAGAGAAGGCGGGAGTTTGAAGTAATCGCTCAGATTAAGCTCTTGCAATCCTCCTGTAACAACTATTGCATGGCGGCAGACAGAAGATTCAGCCAGTGGTTCAGGACACAGCCATCTTTAACAGAGAAAGAGAGCGATACCCTTGCTCGAGAGATAGAAGCAACTACCACGTCTCTAAAATCACGGAAGAGCAGGGGGAAGAGGATGAGCTCCTTACTTCACTGCTGTAATTTCAAATGCCAACTCTAGCAGAAGTCCTCTCTTCTATGTATCAGAGCACTTTCCTTTTGTCACTGAAATTTTACTTTTCCCTTTCTTTTCCACAAAGGGATGAGCGAATGACGAAGAAGTAATTGAATATACTTAGCAGTAATGACAGGAAGGCTCACTTTCGTTGAGTCGTGCTAAGTTTATCATCTTTCTGTTGAGTTGCTTAATAACTGTATTGGATAAATGTTTGTAAATATGTTTACTAATTTCTATTGTAAATTGTTTTATAGGTTTTGTTGTACATATGTATGCTATTTTGTATTTTTTTACATAATGTTGTTGGGTCCCATTCAGGGAGAAAAGCAGAATACAAATAAAGATTTATTATTATTATTATTATTATTATTTGAAACACAACAAGATGAGTCCACAGCAGACACTCTACTGGCTGAATTGGATCAGACGTCGGACACTTCCCAAGTGTCTAGGACTGTGTGATGTATTGGCGAATAATGCGTGCAGATCCCAGCAAAGTGGCCTTTTGCAGCTGGTAATCTTGTTAGCACTGATTGTGTTTAAGTACAGGCCAAGGTCTTTAGGCACTGCACCCAGTGTGCCAATCACCACTAGGACCACCTTGATTGGCTTGTGCCAGTGTTTGCAGTTCGATCTTTAAATCCTCATATCATGTCAGCTTTTCCAGTTGTTTCTCTTCAATCCTGCTGTCATCTGGGATTGCGACATCGATGATCCATACTTTGTTTTTTAACACGATTGTGAGATCAGGAGTATTGTTCTCCAAAACTCTGTCTGAATCCGGAAGTCCCAGAATAGCTTGACGTGTTCATTCTCTGTAACTTTTTCAGACTTGTGATCCCATCAGTTCTTTGTCACAGGTAGATGGTATTTGTGGCACAAGTTCCAATGAATCATCAGAGCAACTGTGTTTATTATTATTATTATTATTTCAAGTGACTTCTCTTTTATTGTGCCTGACCTCATAGCACGGATGTCATGGAAGTGCAGAGATGGAGTTCGTTGGCACTGTTGGTTGGTGACTCTCCACCAACCAACAGTGCCAGAGGAGTCATTCAGGGAACGAAAAATCAAAATCTGCCAACTTGATTTCTAAACTAGTTTCTACATGGGATGAATTAAAATTGGATACAAGTAGCTTTTTGCCCCAGAATAACATGTTAACCTTTGTCTGTTTCTGGTCCTCAACTGACTTAGGTTGGAGGAATCCCACTGATGTCACTGTTCATGTTTACTGAAACTAACAACTGTTTATGAGAAAGAAAGAAAAAATCTCTGGCCATTTATAGCTTCTGTCAGTTACACTATGTAACAACATTTGGGGGGGGGGGGAGGAGAATCTGTTCCTGGTTTGAAAGTGTTATTTCCTATCTAATTGTACAGTTCTTACTTTGAAAGTAATTATTACACCCCCAAAACTTCAAACCAGGAACAGATTTTTTTACACAGAGTAATAAATCAGAATTTGCAAGGCTTGATAAACAGGCTAATTTTCCTTTTTATGAAGTACAGCTGAAATATTGCCTATAGAGCCTACTGTAAATCCTGGACAACAGAGTCATATAAATGTCTAAAACAGCCAGATATTTACCAGATTCTTCATGAGCCCAACATTAACCTAAGGCAAGCATGGGCAAACTTCAGCTCTCCTGAGCTAAGGGCACCCCATTTGACGTCAGGGGCCATAGTTTTAAGAAGCAGTGGGACAGAATACCTGCTTCAAGTCAAAAACATATATAGCAGTGGTTCTCAACCTGTAGGTCCCCAGATGTTTTGACCTTCAACTCCTAGAAATCCTAACAGCTGGTAAATTGGCTGGGATTTCTGGGAGTTGTAGGCCAAAACACCTGGGGACCCACAGGATGAGAACCACTGATATAGAGGAACACAGATTCCTCATTTCCGATATAAATCATGGAGGTCGCCAATCTTTACATAGATCACTATTCTTTCTGCTTTATCTAAAAAGGAACTGACAGCAACTTTTTCACTAAACTGAGCCAGAATTTTAGCCCAGTTCTTCCTTCCTGCATTTCATATCCAAAGCATGAGAAGCTCTTAACTTACACAACCCAACAAGATATAATTTTAAGTCATTCTTATAGTTTTTGCACTGAATTCAGATTTGTGTTTATTTTTTCTCTATCACGTGCAGTTTTTGTTATGAGGCTAATCAAATAATGAATGCATTCACACACGGATATCAATAGAATCTAATTCCCAGTGCCAAACCAGGAAGAGAGCCAAGATTTCTCAGGGATGAATCAGGAGTGTCTCTTTGTGTTTGTTCAACACATACAGTACTTGCATGATCAGTCACACAGCAGTGTAGAAAATTAACTGTGCCCACTGGGATGGGCACAGTGAAGGAAGCAAAACCTACTGTATCTCTCTACCTTCTCTACCCTGCTTTTTCCAAGCCTGCTAATAAATCTTAGAAGTGGGCCCAGAAGGACAAAATAGTTTACCAGTAGTTCTCAACCTGTGGGTCACCAGATGTTTTGGCCTACAACTCCCAGAAATCCTAACAGCTGGAAAACTGGCTGGGATTTCTGGGAGTTGAAGGCCAAAACACCTGGGGATCCACAGGTTGAGAACCACTGGTATAGAGGCAGGACCTGAGGAGGGAGGACGATTGAGGAACTCTGGGATATCTCACACACAGAGTCACAATAAGTCAAAGCTGTCTTGATAGTAGTTAACAACAAATCAGAGCAGAGTGAGGCAAAGCAAGAGATGATAGATATCACTCCTTTTAGTCTAAAATTTAACTCTCTTCAGCTGCTTTATAGCCAAATGAGTCAGCATGTACTTATAGTAAATAGAAGTTACACACAGCTACTGTTGCTTTAAAGCAGGGGCCTTCAGCTTTTGATCTTCCATTTTCTACCGTAGCTCCCAGAACTCTCTTCCATCATGGTCAATGACAAGGGATTCTGGGAGATGGAGGACCAAAGACTGGGAAGAAGTGCTTTACGAGTTATTTCCACTCTAATGAACGTGGTGCAAAGTGTTGCTCAGAATTAGATACCTGGTTTTTCTTTGAATCTGTCCACTTTATTCCGGAGTTCAGGTGACACTTTGTCACAGACTGTTTCCAATATTTCCAGTTTATCTTCTGCCAAAAGGTCTTGTTTCTCTAGGGAAGTCAGCAATTCTAGACCAGACTAAGAGAGAAAGTAAATACAGTATAAGGGGAATGTCTTTGCTTACAGCTCCATCCGAATCTGAGTCACCTGATCTTCCCCTTATCTTTGAAAACATTTATCAATAGCCCAAAGCCCTGATATGATTTCTCTGAAGTGATAAAATAATGGGCATCGAAGTCCTAGTTCTCTAAACCAGGGGTCCTCAAACTATGGCCCGGGGGCAGGCATGTAGGGGGGGGGGGGGGCTTGAGGGGCTTCAGCCCCCCCCCCCAAATTCTCATGGTGGTTTGTGAAAAGGCCTTACTGGTGCATTATTTAAACTGTTATGTTTATTCATATCATGATCTGATCACCATACTCAATATATCCCATATGCATGGGGGTATTGGGGTAATGATACAAAAGGTTTGCTAGGGTAGACCCTCTTTCACTCAGACTCAGCCTCCCCCCCCCCCCCCCCCCCCGAATCGAAATCCTGGCTACGGGCCTGCCCGGGGGCCAGATATGGCCCTCCAAGGTCATTTACCCGGCCCTAGCTCAGGGTCAACCTAAGTCCGAAACGACGTGAAAGCACACAACAACAACCCTATCTGATCAGCCAAAAGCAGGCCCACACTCTCCATTGAAATACTAATAAGTTTATATATGTTAAAATTGTATTTCATTTTAATTATTGTATTGTTTTAAAGTGTTTTTTGCACTACAAATAAGATATGTGCAGTGTACATAGGAATTCATTCATGCATTTTTCAAATTATAGTCCGGCCCTTCAACAGTTTGTAGGACTGTGACCTGGCCCTCTGTTTAAAAAGTTTGTGGATCCCTGCTCTAAACCATCATTAGACTGGTGGGACGCGCACTTCCTTCATGCTCGCTCTAAAACTCTAGTATTCTCTCTGCAAGGAAATCCACCAAGCCTGCATCTGGATAGGTTTTGACAAACACTCAGTTTCATCTGGATTTTTAGATTATATTTTAATAATCCACACTAGTTGTTAGATCAGGGTTTTGCAATCTGTATGATAGTCTTACATCATATGACTCTACTAGCTGTCTCCTGCCACACGTTGCTGTGGCCCAGTCTGATGATTTGGAAAATAAAGTAATGAGAACGTGTTGGCTTCTAATATATATAATTTCTTGATGCTTGTAATTTCTTGATGCTTGTATTTCTTGCCATTCTTTCTCACTGTTGATGTGGAGATTGCCTGGTTTGCCTACTCAGGAACATGCAAAATACATTGTTCTTCTTTAGGGGTCCCTTTCAAATCTATGATATTATATCTCTGTGTGTGTGAATCATACATATCTATCTATATCTATGGCTGGATGGCTCTTTGTCAGGAGGGCTTTGATTATGGTTTCTTGGCCTGGTGAAGGGAGTTGGACTGGATGGCCTTAAGTATTTTCTGTTGGTCATGGGGGTTCTGTGTGGGAAGTTTGCCCCTATTCCGTCGTTTGTGGGGTTCAGAATGCTCTTTGATTGTAGGTGAACTATAAATCCCAGGTAACTACAAATCCCAAATGTCAAGGTCTATTTCCCCCAAACTCCATCTGTGTTCCTTTTTGGTCATATGGAATATTCCTGCCAAGTTTGGTCCAGATCCATCATTGTTTGAGTCCACAGTGCTCTCTGGATGTAGGTGAACTACAATTCCAAAACTCAACGTCAATGCCCACCAAACCCTTTTCTGTTGGTCATGGGAGTCCTGTGTGCCAAGTTTGGTTCAGTTCCATCGTTGGTGGAGTTCAGAATGCTCTTTGATTGTAGGTGAACTATAAATCCCAGCAACTACAACTCCCAAATGACAAAATCATTTTTTTTTAGTGAAGGACATACATTGGGTGGTTAGGTGTATCGTGTCCAAATTTGGTGCCAATTCCCCCAGTGATTTTTGAGTTCTGTTAATCCCACAAACAAACATTACATTTTTATTTATATAGATACACACACACACACACACACACATTTGACATAACATAGTTTAGCTGGATATATGAACTGGTGTTCATATCTGTTTGAAGTACAGTTAAGTACTTTAGGCCCTCCATTTTTGTAGGGCCTAGAGCCACATGATCCCTGAAAAACTGGGGGGGGGGGTGTTTTTTTTTTCTTCATATCAAACATGAGAATATATTTCTGCCTGTCTTTAGCCATCTTCGTTATGCAGAGATGTACTACTACTACTACTACTACTACTACTAATAATAATAATAATAATAATAATACTTTATGAATAACCTGGCCTCTCTCCCCGAAGGGCGGTTTCCAAAGAACAAAGAAATAACCATCAAGACAAAGCATGAAATAAAATAAACAAAATATAACTTATAAATAACCAAACTTAGTCAAGGATAAACTAAATTAACATAATATAACACAAAGCGTCAGACCAATTAAAACACAATATATCAAAAGCATAATATAATCACAACAGTGGGCTGAGGCTAAAAAAAGGCTGGATGGCCATCTGTCAGGGGTGATTTGAATGCAATATTCCTGCTTCTTGGCAGGGGGTTGGACTGGATGGCCCATGAGGTCTCTTCCAACTCTTTGATTCTATTATTCTAAGGCGAGGATGTGTGCAAAGTATGCTAATCCTCCTCTTCTCCATAAGCTAGATTGCACAGGTACGTCTTTAAAACTTTTTAAAGGAGTGGAGAGAGGGGGCCATTTTTAATTCTTTGGGGAGAGATTTCCAGAGGCGGGGAGCAGCCACGGAGAAGGCCCCCTCTCTCAACCATGCTTGAGATGGGGGTGGGACCAAGAGCAGGGCCTCCTCTGCTGACCGCAGTGCTCGTACTGGTTTGTAAGACTGATGTACAACCATACTGATTTGCAATTATCCACCTACTCTTATTTTTTAAAAATAAATACTGTTGACAAATTCAAAATTCAAATGTAACTTAAGCCCACTTCCAGGTGGAAACAACCACGTGTCCTGTTGGTCTTTGCCACCTCCTACCAACCAGTTTGGGACACCCCTAAATCCTTCCCCAGCTCCAACGTGAAGGCACCTGTTGGAGACGACCACATGAAATACCTTTGGAACTCACTCAGATCTTCAACCAGAATGTGGAGGACCTACAGAGGCTTTTTCTTATTCACTGTTTTTTAGCCTTTGTAGAGATCCTGCACTTTTAACTCCAGCAAAATGTGGAGGGTGGCTGTACAATCAAAACCTCTTGGGTATTTTTGATAGCCTGGCACTATGGATTTTTTAAAATTATAGTCGTTGTACTTCACTCACTGTAATGCATTGCTTCTTTGGAAGGTGTTCCCTGAAAAGGAACGTGGCTGTCTTCACATCTTCCTCAGTTAATCCCTCAGATATTTCATATAGCATCTGTCTGTGTGAAAAGTCAGATAAAATGAGCTCACGATATTGTAGAAGTGCAATATATGTAGATAGATAGATAGATAGACAGACAGACAGACAGACGTTTCCCCTGACATTAAGATAGATAGATAGACAGACAGACGTTTCCCCTGACATTAAGTCTGGTCATGTCCGACTCTGTGGGGTGATGGTCATCTCCATTTCGAACCAAAGGACCAGTGTTGTCCATAGACACCTCCAAGGTCATGTGGCCAGAATGACTGCACAGAGCACCGTTACCTTCCCGCCAAAGCGGTACCTATTGATCTACACGCATTTGCATGTTTCGAACTGCTAGGTTGGCAGAAGCTGGGGCTAATAGAGAGAGCTCACCCTGCTCCCAGGATTCGAACTGTCAACCTTTCAGTCAGCAAGTTCAGCAGCTCAGGGGGGCCCTCCTCTCGGTCCCACTACCATCTCAAGCGTGGTTGGTGGGGACAAGAGAGAGGGCCTTCTCAGTGGTGGCCCCCCGTCTCTGGAACGCCCGTCCAAAGGAAATAAGACAGGTCCCATCCCTCCCCTTCTTTCGTAAGAGCTTGAAGACCTGGTGGTTTCAACAAGCCTTTGAAAATGACCAGTTCTAACTCAGCCCCACACATTTTCTAATACAGTGATTTTCAACCTGGGGTCCCCAGATGTTTTTGGCCTACAACTCCCAGAAATCCCAGCCAGTTCACCAGCTGTTAGGATTTCTGGGAGTTGAAGGCCAAAAACATCTGGGGACCCCAGGTTGAGAACCACTGGTCTAATACGACCTTATTCTTCCTACCAGTTACCCAGATTCTTTCCTCTAATCGGCCCCAGAATGGACAGCCACAGACTTAATATTATTGTTGCCTGCCATAGCATTGCACTTAATTCCCGGGCCTCCTAGAATTTTTGGGCTTGCACAAATCTTGGCCCGGACTTTTAAATTTTTAATTGCCTTGAACAGGCAGGATTACTTTTAATATATGTGTGTTATGGTGACAATTTTTATGTTTATATTTTGTTTGTTAATCTTATGGTTATGTTGTTTTTACTCTGTATGTTTTGTGATATTACTTGGGAACCACTCTGAGTCCCCTCGGGGAGATGGAGCGGTATATAAATAAAGTATTATTATTATTATTATTATTATTATTATTATTATTATTATTATAGTGGTTTAACTGCTGTGCCACCGGGGGCTCCATATAGCTATATCTATATCTACCTAACTATCTCAAACTTTTGTCATCCTGCTCATCACCACAGGATTGGACCAGAAACTCTTGATAACTTATTCAAACTCAGGGCCCAATATTTTCCCTGGTCAGAGGTGGGCAGCCTTTGTGCTCCCAGATGGTCTGAACTACATCTCCCACAGCCTTTTAGCATTAGTCACACCCACTCACTATAAAGGGAGTTGCAGACCAAAACATGAAAAGAGTCAATGATTTCCCAACTGAATAAAATAGCAAAAAATATTAAAATGCAGAGTATCACTTCACTGCTGTGCAAACAAGAGGAATTACCAGGCTCAGAAGACTCACCGGTATGGGGAGACATTCCTCATGTGAAACAGGTTGTCTTCAACTTTTTTTTGGGTGTACCCAATTTTCTGGAGCAGGAAGTTACACTTAATCCTGTAGAGAAGTTCTGCTACAATGAAAGTGTCTTCCTTACTTAAAAAGTTCCTATTTATGAGCAGTTGGAAAATGTCATGTGCTGTTTCCACTGCTTCTAGATGCTTTGTGGAGATGAAGTCACTGCAAAGAAATTTCATAGCATCCACATCTTCCTTCCCAAGGTTCTCATCAATTGCCAGAAGTGTCTGGCGAAATTTTACACCATCGTCGTCGTCCATGATGGGTGATATTCTTAAGAGCTAAGTGTTCTAGAAACAGAAAGAGAGAGAAAAATCACTGAAAAATAATAAGCATGGGTATTTTTTGTTGTTGTTGCTAGCCAACCTGCCATGAGCCAGCGTGGTATAATGTTTTGAGGGTTGGACCAGAAGCAGGGTTTGATTCCCAATTCTGCCATGAAAACCCACTAGACCACGACCAAGCTCTTAACTCAAATCACTCTTATCGCAAAGTGAATTTCCCATTGAAATGCTATAAATCGTCTCAGCCCCCTGAAAGCCCCTCCCTATTTTGTTTGTTATGTGCTTTTAAATAAGAAAATCTACTTTATAAATAACAAATAATGTATAAATGCACATTCACATGGAACAATAAAGAAGGAAAGACCAACTTTTAAATGACAGAAGCACAAAGTTGTGGCAAGGAAGCACATGTTTTTATGAAAGAACAAATGAGAAAATGACATTTATAACCCAGGAAAAAAATCGTGTTACATAATATTATAGAATATATATTAATATATAGATATAACCATGCAACTTTAAAGTGTCATTACCTGCTCTCTATCTAGTGACAATTATTTTCCCCAAGACTAACAAGGCAGCCTTGGGTGGGTTTCCCTGACAGTTACATAAAATCTCTTCACCCATCAGAGGTAAGGTTTGAGCCTACCACTGAAGTTGCAATAACCATACTCCTGTCTTGGTAGTGTTTACTTAGGGCCCTTCCAGACATGCCCTATATCCCAGGATTTTATCCCAGGCCTATCTGGAAGAGTCCTGAGAAACAAATCCTTTTGAACTTCCTAGAATTTATTTTTAATAAGCATAACAGAACTGTGCCTCTCAGGAAACAAAAGCCTCTTATACACTGCCATATAATCCAGTTGTGCCAGCCAAATGACCTTGGAGGTGTCTACGGATAATGCCGGCTCTTCAGCTTAGAAATGGAGATGAGCACCAACGCCCAGAGTTGGACACAACTGCACCTAATGTCAAGAGAAAATCTTTACCTTTACCGTTTAATCCAGATTGTCAAAGCAGATAATCCTGATTATATGCTTTGAACTGGATTGTATGAGTCTACACTGCCATACATCCCAGGGCAAAGCAGATAACCTGGATTTAGTGTAGAACGAGCCAAAGACATGACCTAGAGATGTCTGAAATGATAGGGTGTATATGCATTGTTTTCTACATGGGCTCAGGAAGTTATGCAAAGTGTAGCTCTTTCATTTAAAAAAGAACTACTCAGATGTTCTCTTCCCTTGAGTTATGGCTTACTTGTCCGAACGTATCCCCCTCTACTTTCCGCCTCGTAGTTTGAGATCCACCAGGGAGGCCCTGCTCTCAGTTCCACTGGTCTCGCAAGCACGTCTGGTGGGGACGAGGGACAGGGCCTTCTCGGTGGTGACCCCCGCTTGTGGAATTCGCTCCCCAGTGAGATTAGATCAGCATCCTCCCTCCTTTTCTTTAGGAGAAAACTGAAATCGTGGTTTTGGAACCAGGCTTTTGACTAGCAGGCACAACAGCACTTTGGACATTGAACTGGGCCATATGATGATTGTTATGATAATGGAAACGGCTATGATTGTATAATTAATGTTATTGTTTTAATCTATTGAGTTTTTGTGGTTTTACTAGCTGTCCCCTGCCACATGTTGCTGTGGCCCAGTCTGGTGATCTGGAAAATAAAGTAATGAGAATGTGTTGGTTTCTAATATATGTACCGTATATACTCGAGTATAAGCCGACCCGAATATAAGCCGAGGCACCTAATTTTACCACAAAAAACCTGAGAAAACGGATTGACTCAAGTATAAGCGAAGCGTGGGAAATTGCAAAATAAAAATAGATACCAATTAAATTACATTAATTGAGGAATCAGTAGGTTATATGTTTTTGAATACTTACAAAAATGGTAATTTAAGATAAGTGTAACTCTGATTGAATGATTATTTACCTTCCTCAATGTAATGTCCTTACGTATCCTTCCAATAATGATAAAGAGAACAACATAACAAATGTAATAACAACAATAATAAAAAGGTAAAATAATAAATGTAGCAATAACAATTATACAGTAAAATAATAAATGTATAATAATAGAGTAAAACGATAAATGTAATAATAATAAATAGAATAAAATAATAAATGAAATAATAATAATAATAATAATAATAAATAACCTTGACTCGAGTATAAGCCGAGGGGGGACTTTTTCAACCTAAACAAAGGACTGAAAAACTAGGCTTATACTCGAGTATATACAGTAATTTCTTTATGCTTGTGGGTAAACAGTATTTCATGTTGTTTCTTTGTCAGTGTTGATGTAGAGAGTGTCTGGTTTGCCTACTCTGGAACAGGCAACATATAATTGTCCTTCTTTAGGGGTCCCTTTCAAATCTATGATACTATATTGTCATATACATATATATGCGTGTGTGTGTGAATCGTATCTATCTATATCTATGGCTGGATGGCTCTTTGTCAGTTGTCGTTGGTAGGGTTAAGAATGCTCTTTGATTGTAGGTGAACTATAAATCCCAGCAACTACAACTCCCAAATGACAAAATCAAATTTTTTGAGTGAAGGTCACTCCTTGGGTTGTTAGGCGTATTCTGTCCAAATTTTGTGTCAATTTGTCCAGTGGTTTTTGAGTTATGTTAACCCCACAAACGAACATTACATTTTTATTTATATAGTGTTGTTCTATTGTGATATTGTGGCATCGAATTGTTGCCACTCTGAGTCCCCCCTCGGGGGGTTGAGAAGGGCAGGATAGAAATGTTGTAAATAAATTAAAAAAAAATAATTAGACCTCCTTTGCTCAATACTAACTTTTTGAACATGACATTGCTCCTGGAGACTGAAGAGGGCAGGGAGGTGCCATCTTAAGCGGGCTAAGCTTGTCCCTCAGGGCAATGCTTCTTCCAAGATGGCGTTTGGCATAATTCAGGCCCACAATAATCTCAAACCAATGGGAAAGAACCCCCCAAAGCCTCTACTTTTTAACTGGTACAGACTCTCCTGGCTCTTTGGGCACAAAATGAAGTTTCCTGGCCTTCAAGGTGCCAAGCTGTTTCTGCTTAACCAAACAAACATGGCCGCCCCTGGAAGCTGTTACACAACAGGAATGCAAAACTCAGGTCCAATTCAAACATAGGTTTACTCCATTCAATTCACACTGAGGGCCCTTCCACGCAGCCCTATATTCTAGAATATCAAGGCAGATAATCCCACATTATCTGAGTGTGGACTCAGATAACCCAGTTCAAAGCAGAGATTGTGGCATTTTCTGCCCTGACATTCTGGGATACAGGGCTGTATGGAAAGGCCTCAAGGCTGAATAATACATATAGCTGAATAATATCCCACATTATCTGCTTTGAACTGGGATAAATGGCAGTGTGGACTCAAGATATTTGAGGCCCCTTCCACACAGCTGTATAAAATCCACTTTGAACTGGAATATATGGCAGTGTGGACTCAGATAACCCTGTTTAAAGCAGATATTGTGGGTTTTTCTGCCTTGATATTCTGGGTTACATGGCTGTGTGGAATGGCCCTGAACCTTGTTAGATTCAAAGGTCATTTGTGAAGGGATCTGGGGACACTTCTTTAGCTATATTTACTTTTTAGCTATATTTAGCCATTAGCTATATTTACTTTTTCTATACGCAAAGGAGACTCAAACGAGGCTTGAGCAAAACACACCAGGAAAGAAGGCCTGCTGAATTATGTTACACTTATGGCTATTAACACAACACACACTATGGGCCCTTCCTGACAAGTTCAATATCCCAGGATCTGATCCCAGGTTTCCTGCTTTAAACTGGATTGTATCAATCCACATTGACAGATAATCTGGGTTAAACAGATCAGGTCCTGGGATAGAAGGCCTCTCTGGAAGAGCCCTGTGAATAATATATTGCACACTTTATGTAATACTAGCCGTCCCCTGCCACGCATTGCCGTGGCCCAGTCTGTGTATATGTGTTGTGTATATGTGTGTGTGTGTGTGTGTGTATATATTTGTGTATATGGGTGTTTGAGTATATATATGTGGTTTTGCGCATGCGTTGTAATGTATTTTTGTTTTATGGCTTTTTAGTCTCTTCTGCTCTGTTTTTGAGTCTTTTTATGAGGTTTTTTTTTTTTGGTCGTGTCAGGAGTGACTTGAGAAACTGCAAGTTACTTCTGGTGTAAGAGAATTGGCCATCTGCAAGGATGTTGCCCAGGGGACACCCGGATGATTTGATGTTTTTATCATCCTTGTAGGAGGCTTCTCTCATGTCCCCGCATGAGGAGCTGGAGCTGATAGAGGGAGCTCATCCGCCTCTCCCTGGATTCGAACCTGCGACCTGTCGGTCTTCAGTCCTGCCGGCACAGGGCTTTAACCTACTGCGCCACGGGGGGCTCCAATTGTATAGGTAAAGGTAAAGGTTTCCCGTTGACATTAAGCCGAAGAGCTGATGTTGTCCGTAGATGCATCCTAGGTCATGTGGCTGACATGACTGCACGGAGCATCGTTACCTTCCCGCAGAAGCAACACCTATTCATCTACTCACATTTTGCATGTTTTCGAACTGCTAGGTTGTCAGAAGCTTGGGCTAACAGCGAGAGCTCACCCCACTCCATGGATTTGAACCATCAACCTTTCAGTCAGCAAGTTCAGCAGCTCAGTGGTTTAACCTACTGTGCCATCGGGGCTCCTACTATGTTATATTTGCTACTAATAATTTTGAAATATTATGATACAATATAATAATATATAATACTAATCTTACACTATACTAATATACTATATATTTTATAAAAGACTATAATATAATACAGTATAATATACAATACGAATAGTATAACATACTAAAATATATTGTATACTACTACTAATATTGTAACATTATAAGATAATGTAGATTGTAATGTAATGCAATATAATTATAATAATACAATACAATATATAATATAATATTAATATATTAAATATAATACTACTAATAACATATACTAATAATGTAAATATTTTATATAATACTATTTATAATATAATACAGTATAATATACAATACTAATAGTATAACGTACTAAAATATATCATATACTATATATAGTACTACTAATATTGTAATATTATAAGATAATATAGATTGTAATGTAATACAATATAATTCTAACAATACAATATATAAAATAATATTGTAATATTAATATATTTAATATAATACTACTAATAACATATAACAATGAATATTTTAAGTTGTATTGTAATGCTTTTAATTGTGAGTTGCTTTGAGTCTCCATAATAATAATAATAATAATATTACAATGTAATACAATATAATTCTAATAATACAATATAATATATAAAATATTATTGTAATATAATATTAATATGATAAATATAATACTACTAATCTATATATATAAATTTGTTAGGGGCATCCAACGAGGAAACAAAACTCAAAAAACCCCCAACGAAACTTAACCAAAATTCCCATGCCCATAACACAACCCACAAGGTACAAACATATCTACTCAAAATGAAAAACAACACAACAACACACTCACAAAACGCAAAACAACAAAACTCAAAAAACCCCAACGAAACTTAACCAAAATTCCCATGCCCATAACACAACCCACAAGGTACAAACATATCTACTCAAAATGAAAAACAACACAACAACACACTCACAAAACGGCAAAACAACAAAACTCAAAAAACCCCAACAAACTTAACCAAAATTCCCATGCCCATAACACAACCCACAAGGTACAAACATATCTACTCAAAATGAAAAACAACACACAACACACTCACAAAACGGCAAAACAACAAAACTCAAAAAAACCCCAACGAAACTTAACCAAAATTCCCATGCCCATAACACAACCCACAAGGTACAAACATATCTACTCAAAATGAAAAACAACACAACAACACACTCACAAAACGGCAAAACAACAAAACTCAAAAAACCCCAACGAAACTTAACCAAAATTCCCATGCCCATAACACAACCCACAAGGTACAAACATATCTACTCAAAATGAAAAACAACACAACAACACACTCACAAAACGGCAAAACAACAAAACTCAAAAAACCCCAACGAAACTTAACCAAAATTCCCATGCCCATAACACAACCCACAAGGTACAAACATATCTACTCAAAATGAAAAACAACACAACAACACACTCACAAAACGGCAAAAGATAAAACTCTAAAAAAACCAACGAAACTTAACCAAAATTCCCATGCTCATAACACAACCCACAAGGTACAAACATATTACTCAAAATGAAAAACAACACAACAACACACTCAAAACGGCAAAAAAACAAAACTCAAAAAAAACCCAACGAAACTTAACCAAAATTCCCATGCCCATAACACAACCCACAAGGTACAAACATATCTACTCAAAATGAAAAACGACACAACAACACACTCACAAAACGGCAAAACAACTGAGCATGCGCATTGGCGCCCAGCCGCAAGTTCCCTGGCGCGCGCACATGGCCCTTCCGGCCAACGTTCCCTCTGCGGAAACCATGCCCACTCCAAGCCCCGCCGCGCCGCTTCCCGCACACACACACACCCTGCCGCACACACACACAACCCCACACTCCATCACTCCCCCCGCCGCCGCACACACACACGCAACCCCACGCTCCATCACTCCCCCGCGCCACACACACACACGCAACCCCACTCCCCCGCCGCTGCACACACACACGCACAACCCCACGCTCCATCATCCCCCCCACCCGCACACACACACCCCCACGCTCCATCACTCCCCCCCCCAATCTTACCTCCTTTTACTTCACGCCACCCCCAAACCCCCCCCCGCCCCTTCCCGCCCTGTCAAAATCTAGGAAAGACAGGAAGGAAGGAAAGAAGGAAGAAAGAGAAAGGGAGGTAAAGAAAAAGGGGGAAGGAAGGAAAGTTAGAGAAAGAAGGAAGAAGAAAAGGAAAGAAAAGGAAAGATGGAAGGAAAGGAAAGAGAGACAGCAGAAAAGAAAGAAAAAGGGGGAAGGAAGGAAAGAGGTAGAGAAAGAAGAGGAGAAGGAAAGATGGGAGGGAAGGAAGGAAGGAAGGAGGGAAAGAAGGAGAGAAAGAGGGAAGATTGGCCACAGCAACACGTGGCGGGTAAAGGTTGTTATTTCTATTATTATTATTATTATTATTATTATTATTATTATTATTATTATTATGCTATTGTTCCTATGAGACCCTGGAGGAATGGGAGAGGTGTCAGGTCCCAGAGGCAATGCATTGCATTATTGTTATTGTTATGATGGTGGTAAAATAAAAGGAAATAAAAAGTGAAAGAAGGAAGCAAACAGGGAGGGAAGAAAGGCAAAGGAAGAAAGGGGGAGGGAATGAAGGAAAGAGAGAAGGATGAAACCAAGTAGTGAAAGAAAGAAAGAGGTAGAGAAGGAAGAAAGGAGAGAAAGGGGGAGGAAAAGGGGGAAGGAATAGTAGGGACCTCTCTTTCATAATAGTCCAGATATCTACCTCAACTTTGATAAGTTTTACTATAGGCCACAGCAACGCGTGGCAGGGCACAGCTAATAACATATAATAATAATGTATATTTTAAGTTATATTGTAATGCTTTTAATTGTGAGCCGCTTTGAGTCTCCATAATAATAATATAATGTAATACAATATAATTCTAATAATACATTCTAATATATAAAATAATATTGTAATATAATATTAATATATTAAATATAATACTACTAACATAATATAATAATAATGTATATTTAAGTTGCAATGCTTTCAATTGCGAGTCGCTTTGAGTCTCCATAATAATGATGTAATACAATCTAATATATAAAATAATATTGTAATATAATATCAATATATTAAATATAATACTACTAACATAATATAATAATAATGTATATTTTAAGTTGTAATGCTTTCAATTGTGAGCCGCTTTGAGTCTCCATAATAATAATAATAATAAGTAACACAATGTTTGTTCCTGGGTTGTAAATGTCATTTCCTAATTGGTTCTATCATGCAAACATGGTAAAAGTTTATTTAAACTGTGAAAACCTTGCTTTTGTGGGACATCCTGCAGCACATTTTGCTTAGTTTTACAATCCAGTCTCAACCAATTCAACCGAGTTTGTGGCAGCCACAAATATGAAGTTTCTGGAGTAGAACAACTTTCAAAGTAGCTAATATCACACAATGAATCAGGAAATAACACTTTCAAACCAGGAACAGATATTTTAAAAATTGTGACATAGTGTTATTATGCTGAGCTGCAAAATCTCCTCCTCCAGATCCTTGTAACTTGGGACCCTTCCAGGCAGGCCCTTATATATCCCAGGATCTGATCAATCCCAGGTTTTCTGTTTATCCCAGATTATCTGGCAGTGGGGAGTCATATAATCCGGCCTGGAAGAGAACTTGTTGAGCTACTTTCGCTTTGAGAACATGGGTTTCGTTTTCTGGGGTGAATCAGATAGGCTTCCTGGAAGTGGCCGAGGACTCTCCCTTCTCTGAAAACGACCTGTAACTATCTACACAGCAGAGTGAATGTAGTTTGGCTCCACTTGGGGCTGCCCCATGGGGGTCCTGGGAGCTGTAATCAGGCGGGAAGGGGCACCAAACTCAGGCGCCTGTAGGGAAGACTCCTCCTGCCCTCCTTCCCGCTTCCTCCTCTCCCACCCCACTCCCGAAGGCGGAAAGAAAGGAAACGCAAGCCAACCTGATGAGAGAAGGGGCCTCTTTAAAGCAAAATCCAAGAGCTACAGGATCCCGATCTCTCTCTTTCTCGGCCACTTCCGACTCCCGCAATGGGTTTTTTTTGAATTTCCTGGTCTGGTGCAAAGCCCCGCCCAGCACTTTCCGGGGAGACAAAGAAGCCCCTCCCAGTAAAGGCTGAGCAGCTGCAAAAAGGCGGGAAATATGCTTGGGACTCCAAGGTCCCTGCTACACTGCCATATAAAAATCAAGATGATCTGGCAGTGTAGACTCATCTAATCCAGTTCAAAGCCGATCATGTGGATCATCTCCTTTGATAATCTAGGTTCTATTGCAGGTTAGGCCCCTTCTATACTGCCATGTAAAATCCAGATTATCTGTTTTAAACTGGATTATTATATGGCAGTGTAGACTCATATTCAAAACCGATCATGTGGATTACCTCCTTTGATAATCTAGGTTCTATTGCAGGTTAGACCCCCTTCTATACTGCCATGTAAAATCCAGATTATCTGTCTTCAACTGGATTATATGGCAGTGTAGACTGACATCCAGTTCAAGGCAAATCATGTGGATTATCTGCTTTGATATCTGGGTTCTATGGCAGGTTAGGCCCCCCTCGATACTGCCATGTAAAATCCAGATTATCTGGTTTGAAGCGGATTATTATATGGCAGTGTAGATTCATATATTCATATATATTCATATATTCCAGTTCAAAGCCGATCATGTGGATTATCTTTGATAATTTGGGTTCTGCTTTGATAATTTGGGTTCTGTGGCAGGTTAGGCCCCTTCTATACTGCCATGTAAAATCCAGATTATCTGTTTTAAACTGGATCATATGGCAGTGTAGACTCATATAACCAATTTCAAAGCAGATTATGTGGATTATCTGCTTTGATAATCTGGTTTCTGTGGCGGGTTAGGCCCCTTCTGTGCTGCCATATCATAAACTGGATTATTTTAGTGTACACTGCTATTTAATCCAGTTCAAAGCAGAAAAAAAATTGAAAAGTGCTGGCTTTAGAAAGGTTTTCCCCTGACATTAAGTCCAGTCATGTCCAACTCTGGGGTGTGGGGTTTATCTCCATTTCTAAGACGAAGAGTTGGCATTGTCCGTAGACACCTCCAAGGTCATATGGCCAGCATGACTGCATGGAGCGCCGTTACCTTCCTGCCAGAGCACCAGTTTCTGCCAATTTAGCAGTTTGAAAACATGCAAATGTGAGTAGATAAATAGGTACTGCAGGAAGGTAACGGCGCTCCATGCCAGAGCAGTACCTATTTATCTACTCACCTCCTATGGCAGGTTAGGCCCCTCCTACACTGCCATGTAAAATCCAGATTATCTGGTTTGAACTGGATTATTACATGGCAATGTATACTCATATAATCCAGTTCAAAGCCGATCATGTGGATTATCTGCTTTGATAATCTGAGTTCTGTGGCAGGTTAGTCCCCTTCTATGCTGCCATGTAAAATCCAGATTATCATAAACTGGATTATTTTAGTGTAAAAAAGGTAAAGGTTTTCCCCTGACATTAAGTCCAGTTGTGTCCGACTCTGGGGTGTGGTGCTCATCTCAATTTCTAAGCCGAAGAGCCGGCGGCGTCCCTAGACACCTCCAAGGTAATGCAACCGCCATGACTGCATGGAGCACCATGTTTTCAAACTGCTAGGTTGGCAGAAGCTGGGGCTAACAGCGAAAGCTCACGCCGCTCCCCAGATTCAAACCTGCGACCTTTCGGTCAACAAGCTCAACAGCTCAGCGGTTTAACCCATTGCGCCACTGGGGGCTCCCCGCTTTAGCCTATAAAGCCCTAAATGGTTCTGGTCCGATTTACCTATCTGGACATATCTCTCCTTATGAACCATCTAGGACTTTAAGATTGTCTGGGGAGGCCCTGCTCTTGATCCCGCCTTCCTCACAGATGTGTTTGGCGGGGACGAGAGACAGGACCTTCTCAGTGGTGGCCCCTCAGCTATGGAACGCCCTTCCCAGGGATACAAGATGGGCTCCCTCCCTTTGAACATTCCGCAAGATGGTTAAGACCTGGCTCTTCGAGCAAGCTTTTACTACTAGACGAAAACCAATATATGGAACGACCAATGATGCAATTTGACGATTTTAGTAAGGAGACGCCAAGGATTTTATTTTTACAGACATTGTTTCTTTTATATTACATTTAAAATGCTGAATTGTTTTGATAATTGTTTTAACTGTATTTTGATAACTGTTATGATATCGAATTGCTGCCGACTGTGAACTGCCTTGAGTTGCCTCTGGCTGAGAAAGGCGGTATACAAATGCGGTAAATAAATATTATATGACTGTAGATGAGGCCTTAGAAGCATCTGGTTCCACTTTGGGCAACAGACTCCAGGGTGGAAACTACAAACTTTTCCAGTTCAATCCTGTATCTGCCTCTTCAGAAGCCCGGCTCCCAAGTAAGTGGGGGCAGGATGGCAGCCCAAGGCGCATCTGCACTGATTGATTTAAGGCCCCTGCCACACAGCTGAATACAATCCCGCATTATCTGCTTTGAGCTGGAATATATGGCAGTGTGGACTCAGATAACCCAGTTCAAAGCAGATATGGTGGGATTTTCTGGGTTATGTGGCTGTGTGAAAGGAAAGAGCCTAAGGCCATTTGGTTCCACTTTCACTGCTATGAAACCAAAGGACCTGTAGTTTTACAAGGTCTTTAGTCTTCTCTGCCAAAGAATGCTTTACCTTGCCAAACTACAATCCCAGGGCTCCATAGCATGGAGTTCAAACGGCATCGATTCTACTGTGTAAATACTGTCAGGATTTTCAGGGGCTGGGACCTCAGCTTGGAAAGCACGCAGAGAAAGGGATGATCAAGAAAAAGCAAATGGACATACTTGTGTTTTTTGTTTTTTACATTACCTTCTGGAAAGATTTATTTTTAAAAAACGCAGACACTACAGAACAGGAAAATGTACAATGACGGAACGAGTCAAGATCATAATACAGTACTGTATCACTGAATGCTAATGTCACAATGATTCACAGGGTAATATTCTCCGATGTGATACTACAAGCTTGTGATAGGAAGAAAATTGATTCATTTTGAGATGTGGATTTGGAAATGACTTCTATGGAGGCAAATCCACAAGTCCTGAAGCAAATCAGGCCAGAACTCCTCCTGAGAAGCCAAACAGAGATTGTTCTAGTGGTTTGGTCACATTTATGACAAGAGAAGACTCACAAGAAAAGCTAAATAAAGTGAGGTAGACAGTAGAATGAAAAGAGGAAGGTCAAAATCCAGACAGATTGACTCAATTAAGGAATCTACAGTTTGCAAGTTTGAGTTTGCAAGATCTGAGCAGGACTGTGGATTACTAGGCAACTTGAAAAAGCATGGAGTTGCCATAAGACAAAGTTGAACAGCAAGAAAGGGGACACATGCTGAACAGGGAGTGAGAGCCACTTCCTACACATTGCTTTGCAGCTTTCCTTACACATAACTTCAGGCATGAAATAAATATTTCTATTTTAACACAGCTATTCCCTTTTAACATTGGCCATACCGGCTAGGGGGATCCTGGGAACTCGGCCCAAAATGTCTCAAGCTCTGCCTTGTTTACATATCAACGTAGTCCACATTGAGGGTTTCCCATGTTCTGTACAGCCTTTGGGTATTTTTCTTAACTTCTAACGATAGTTTGCACTTTTTTTGCTTGGTCTCCCTCTTCTACTTGCTTCTGTACAAGGATGGTGAGGACTTCTGGTACTTAGGAATATAATTACTTCAAAGAGCAAAGATAAGTAGTATATTATGTACATGTATATGGCCACCTTTCTCTGTAAATCCAGGTTGGAGAATCTTGGATGCTCCATATCCTTGGAGCATACTAGATAAGGCAGGCATGGGCAAATTTTGGCCATTCAGATGTTCAGACTTCAGTTCCTACAATTCCTAGTCCTACAATTCCTAGTAAGCTGGTTGGGATTTGTGGGAGTTAAAATCCAAAATACCTGTAGGGCCGAACTTTACTCATGCCTGAGATAAGATCAAAGGTTCACCACCCTGATTTACACGTGTCATTAAATGTACAAGATAGGATAAACGTAACCACTAGAAATATTGCAAATCAGGCTTTTGATATGTTCTTTCATTTGCAAATCCCATTTCTTTTATGTGTCTGTAAGACTGTAGCCTTACAATTTGATCCTATGAGTGTTAGGTATATTTATAGTACTTAATTCTGTACATGACTGTCTGCTAAACAAATAAAAAGAGTGAGAAAATTTGGAAGATACCAAAGGCTTTGACAACCTGTGTTTCAAAGTATCAAAGTATCAACAAAATCAGAGAGAAAAAGAGACACCCTTTTAAAGTTGTGTGTGTGTGTGTATATATATATATATATACATACATACATACACACACACTATATATATTCCCAGACTTCATAATTACATGATTAAAGCAGGTTAGTTATTGTTGTTATTGTCAAAGTACTGTACTGTTGGCTCTCTACATTTCTAGATATAACTTTTGATTATTTGTGGATTTGATTAAAATTATCACTCTGTGAATTTCTAGGTTAGAGTTTCTCAAACTATGTATCAGTTTGTAGGTGTGTCACATGAACATAATGTGAAACATCTGAGTTTGTGAAACAACAATTTTATATTTAAAAAAATATAAATTAAACGTTTTCATGAAGTATGTTGCACCCTCAATCGTTTAGTTATTACAATGTCCATATCTCTTATAAAGGGTTGATTAACTTAATGTGTCACAAAATGACACATGTAGAAAAATAGTGTGTCACAAACATGAGATGCTTGGAAAACTCTGTTCTAGATTTTCATTTTCATGGGGTTTCTGTGCCCCTAACTCCAGCGAATGTGGAAGGCTGCCCGTACTAATATTAAGGGGCTTCTGTCATACACTTCTGATCAAAACATCAACACTGCAGTAAAGCAAGTTGTGCAATTAATAACTGCAGCAAGAAAGTTGGAGAAGTAGGAGGTGGAGCAAGGCAGTTGTGAGAGACATCTATCACATTCTTCATTTGACCTTATTTGTGTTTGCAATGATCCACCATTTGGTTATACACTAAGAACAAACTTTTAAAAATAAACACCAAAGAACTAAATATTAAATTTTATGAATACAGCTGCAGCTAAAAAAGAAAAACAAAAAGTGGCGCACATGATGCATGCCATCTAGACAATTTGCATCTCATCTATGTGAACACGCATGAGTGTAAGTGAAGCAATGATCTTACACAATGTAAGGCAAATTCCCCTGTGTACCACCTAGCTGCCTACTGTTAAGTTAGTCTGCAAATTATTTTTCTTTCCTAGCATTGTACCCAGTTTTGTTTTTTGGGTAAGTCTGGGAGCTGTAGTGCTTAAAAATTGCCACTTCACGCTCTGGATCTAACGGGTGATTCAGATTACAAGTCATGACTTATGCAGAGTTTAGGTACCAAATCTCACTGAAATAGCTGCACTCTAAAAGAGCCCTAACTCTCCAGAGGGTCAGGCTGTAATAATACCTTCTTGAGTTTTCTGTGCATCTTTAAAAAAAGATAAACAATATAGAAGCAAACACATTTGGAGTGGCTGAGTGAATGCAAGCACATAATTCAGAACAAAATGGGAATCCATGTTATTGTTGTATGTGAATGCTGCCACTGTATCGTTCTGTAGACTTTTGAAATGTAACATTATGGCATCTATTTAATTTTAGAGAGAGTTGTTATCATATGTTGCAGCTACGTCACTGCTTATTTAAAAAGATAAGCATTCATTTTAATTTTTGTATTCCAAAAGAGAGATGATACAGTAATGAATAAAAGTGGAATTAGTTTAGAAATCTGCAAAAAAAAAAACAAGATTTGGTTAGTGCTTTAAAAGAAAACTCATAACCTGGACATTTGCCTGCTTAAGATTACAACACCATGGACAAAAAGGTGAGAGCTGGAAGGAAATGCAAAACAAAAATGAAACAGTACATACAAATGACCAAAAAGCTTCTTAAAGTAACTTTGATGCATTAGTTATACCCATAAGTAAGTATACATAGTATTGATTAGGCCAAATTAGAAGCATACATAAATATTACTGTCCATAAGTTCTCTTTAATTGCCACAAGAGCAATCACCAGCAGTAAAACAGATCCCATCTTATTATATTTTCAAGCTATTATTAAGCGGTTATGTGGCTATTTTCATCCCAAAAAACTTATAGCCTATTCCTTGCCATGTGCCTGCATTCCCAAGTTAGCTTATCTGGATTGTCATGAACCCACGGCAACACAGACCCTGCTAGAATAGTAGTGCCTTGATGCTATGACTGTGTATGTTATGTGATAACTCAGCTGCTGTGCCTAGTAGGAAGTTGAATGTGAAGGATATAAGAAAGAGTGTATTTTCTCTCAGTGGAATTCCTCACTAAAACAATTGGAACCCAGGGATATAGGAAGATGAGCTACCCACTGAAACAATTACTCCTCCAAAACACAGTAAACCTTAGGAAAGTCCCAATGGTGGTGGAGGAATGAATTCAGGATTAGGTGTTAAAACTCAGCAACTGAGCTAGGCAAGATACACACACCATCCCAACTGGCGTGGTGAGAATCCAGACCATCTTTTTCCATAGCTAATGCCCTTCCGAAATGCTGCATTGCAACACCTCAGCTACTGTGGCTACTTGGATGATGAGTGTTGTAATAATCCAAGGCACCCGAAGACACCAGCATGGAGAAGTCTGGCACTTAGACCTTCAAAGCCTGTGAACAGCAAGACTTTGTGTTCATGTTGTCAGAACTCAAAGATGTCCCTCTTTTGCTACTTTCCTTCTTCTTAACGGCATTTCTATCGGAGAGCCCACTATCTAAACAAGCAGCAGTAATATAGGGCTGATGGTAGCCAAGATCTCTTTCTGTCTGCTGAACCCATCTGTGCGGGACCTACACTTGATCTGACATCCTCTCAGGACTTAGAAAGATGTGTGTGTGGTGTGTGTGCACATATATATTTGAAGGAAACCCAATAAATGTTCATTAGAGGCAACTAAAAAAGTATATCCATAGCATCTACAACAGTAGCAAAGATAATGTGCTAGATATTAATCAGTTGTATTCCTAAGGCCTCTGTCTGAAACTTGAGTTGAGTTAAGGCTTTCAAAAAGCACAATATGTTTCTTCACAAAACAAGCTGTTTCAGGTCACACTCATTTCAGGTTTGTATGTTTAGCTGCTGGAAAGGAAAAGCTTCTTTCTGAGGGTGTGCTTCAACATAAGTGAATACTGCTCAGCAGGGTTAGTCCTGTTCCTCTCATAAACTCTATTGTTCAGCTCCACGAGAATATCCAACAGAGGCAGGTTCCTGGAAAGAAAGAAAAAAGAATTGCAGAGGTGGGTGAAAAGGAAGAGTGATGGTTTTTGGTACTGAAAAGAACTTATCTACTAAAAACTTGTAAAAGTTCCAGGTTTTTGAAAAGCATTTTGTTTTTCCAAATCTGCAAATTCCTCCCCAAAGGTTAATTTCCAAATCATCTTTACTGAATAGCGGATACCATTAGTTTCAACAGTGCTTGTTACTATATGTCTTCAAGTTTATTTTGATATGGCAACGCTCATAGGGTTGTTTTGGCAAGGCATTTCTTCAGACAGGGTTCACCATTCCCCTCCTCTGAGGCTGATAAGTTGCTCAAGGTCAAGGCAGTGCCTTTACATAGCTGAGCAGGGATTCTAACCCTGGTTTTCTGAAGTCTCAGGCTATGATTTCAACTCTTGAAGTAACCAAAGCACAGTGACTATTCGGTGAGGACTCTTCAGTGAAGGGTGTTATCCTGACAACTTAAAGACTGGGTGTTTGGTATGGTTCCTGAGCCGCAAAAGTACTATAAAGTACTACAATTCCCCTAATAATAAGAAGGAGGAGGAGGAGGAGGAGGAAGAAGAAGAAGCTCAGCCTGTCATTGAACATCGAGAAAACCAAAGTGCTGTTCCAGCAGTCACCAGCCAACCCCTTCCTTTCCAATGCCAGAGATACAGCTTAGTGGTGTAACATTAGAAAATGTTGACCATTTCCGCTACCTTGGCAGCCACCTTTCCACCAAAGTCAACATCGACACCGAAATACAACACCGCCTGCGCTCTGCGAGTGCAGCATTTTCCAAATGAAGCAGAGAGTGTTTGAGGACCGGGACATCCGTAGGGATACCAAGGTGCTTGTTTATAGAGCTATTGTTCTCCCAACCCTGCTATATGCCTGTGAGACGTGGACTGTCTACAGACGTCACATGCCACTCCTGGAACGATTCCATCAGCGCTGCCTCCGGAAAATCCTGCAAATCTCTTGGGAAGACAAGCGGACAAATGTCAGGATGCTGGAAGAAGCAAAGACCACCAGAATGGTCCTCCGCCATCAACTCAGCTGGACCGGCCACGTTGTCCAAATGCCCGACCACCGTCTCCCAAAGCAGTTGCTCTACTCCGAACTCAAGAATGGAAAATGGAATGTTGGTGGGCAGGAAAAGAGATTTAAAGATGGGCTCAAAGCCAACCTTAAAAACTCTAGCATAGACACTGAGAACTGGGAAGCCCTGCCCTTGTGCACTCCAGCTGGAGGTCAGCTGTGACCAGCAGTGCTATAGAATTTGAAGAGGCACCAATGGAGGGCAAAAGAGAGAAATGTGCCAAGAGGAAGGCACATCAAGCCAACTCCTACTGAAACCGCCTTCCACCTGGAAACCAATGCCCTCACTGCGGGAGAAGATGCAGATCAAGAATAGGGCTCCACAGTCACCTACAGACCCACAAGAATACTGATCCTGGAAGACTATCCTACTCAGCCAATGAGGGATCGCCTAAGTAAGTAATAATAATAATAATCTTTATTTATACCCTGCCTCCATCTCCCCAAGGGGACTCAGGGCGGCATACATGAGGCCAATAAACACAATATAAGACAAAAACACAACAGAAAATAAAATAACATAAGATGCAAAACCAATATAAATAAGCGACACAGCAATATAAATTCAAACATTAAAACACAAATGATCACACTGGGCAGGGCCAAATTCAAAGGTAAAATTTTAAAACACCGGGAGATAGGTGATCCGGGGATGAGGTGGGATTGAATTGCACGACTTAACACATCTAATGTTTAATGATTGCGGTAGTTGAAATCCAAAACCTTGGGAGGGGCAGTGGTCCCCCAGTCCTGGCAAAAAAAGCAAACTCATCTTCCCGAAGCCAGAACAGTTGGATTTCTACCTTTATATGCAAAAAGAGGACGAGATCTATGCTTCCACAAACGTTTCCATTCCATGCCGTGAAGAGGATCCCTCCAGAGCAAACACAGAGCAAACACAAGCCCTTGGAGGGAAAGGCCTCACATCATTAGCTTTTATATATAGAACGGTATATGGAACAATCAGTGCTCACTGAGAACACGAAAGTGCATCCAAGTCGTTACAATGTCACCCATGTCTCTATTGACAGGAGTATTGTCTGGTAGAAATGTGTTCTGTGCATATGCCTGTCTTTTCCACTTGTACAATGTGATATTGCATAAAAATCTGCATTGGCCAATCCACTTTGTCCAATTCATGATGGTTTTAAGTGGTATTTGAGCTCTCAGGTAACTAGATTTTGCAGACTACTTCAAAGCAGTGTGTATTTTCAATGCTCTGAAGAATAAAGATATCCTTTACAGAATATAAAATTATAGAATGTTTACAATGTTTATGTGTTTTAATTATGCTGTAACCCACCTCGAGCCATGAGGAGAAATAATAATAATAATAATAATAATAATAATAATAATAATAATAATAATACCTGTCAGCAGCAAAGAATTGGTGGGATCATAAACCCGCAAAGGTCGTGGAAAATGAACATGCAAAAATACTGTGGGACTTTCGAATCCAGACTGACAAAGTTTTGGAACACAACACGCCAGACATCACAATTGTGGAAAAGAAAAAAGTCTGGATTATTAATGTTGCCATACTGGGTGACAGTCACATTGAGGAAAAACAACAGGAAAATCTCAGCTGCTATCAATACTTCAAAATCGAACTGTATAAACCAGTACAGGTGGTCCCAGTGGTCATCGGCACACTGGGTGCCATGCCAAAAGATCTCAGCCGGCATTTGGAAACAATAAACATCGACGAAATCACGATCTGTCAACTGCAAAAGACCACCTTAGTTGGACCTGCTCGCATCATTCGAAAATACATCACAGAGTCCTAGACACTTGGGAAGTGTTCAAATTGTGATTTTGTGATACGAAATCCAGCATATAGATCTCATTTACTATGACATACTGTGTTTTCCCCACGTGGTCACTGCGATTTACACATATGGTAATATTCGGTAATATGTAGCTAAAACACAGAAATGGGCAAAGCGTAGCCCTGGCACCGCAGTAGGCCCTGAATTATGAGGTTTTTTTGGCCCTCAACCCCTCCAGATCCACAGACTATCAATTACCTCACTCTCCTGTTGGCTTTCACCTTAGGGCTGAGAGTGGCGGTCAATAAATGCAAGAAATAAATAAATAAAATAAATAAATATTGCAGGAAAAATCAGACTTTTGCAAGCCTCCCTTGAACAGTTTAACATCAAACTATAAGTTTATCAAAACCAAAATTTGGCTCTGCTTACTTCATGTTTCTTTCTTGTTTCCCTCAGTCTGCACATCCCTGAAGGTGACAGAACAGAAAACTGGTTGCCAGGCCTTCCCCAGTTGCCCACCCAGATCTAAAACAACCACCTACCTTTTGTGAGGGTCTCTCAAGAGGGCTGCTAGAGATGTCAGGTAATAGGAAGAGGAGTGTGGGAATCTGTCCAAAACTGATGCATCCAGCGTACTCTGGCTCCAAAGGACATCTGCTACTTGTGGAATAGTAGACATATTGCCATCTGCCTCAACCAGGCTGGTATTGTGTTGCCATCTTCTGGCCTCAACATAGTTCTGGACAAAAAAGAGCTTTGGCTTCCCTAAGAGGTGAGGGCACCTGTCTCCGACGAAAAAGTGCTTCACCCTCTCTAGGGAGAACCCAGGAATCATATGGTCTGTGCAGGAGATGCCCTGGTGGTCTCCTCGGCTGATCAAGACACAAACGAAAATGTCATAGCCTTTGTGCTCTTTGAGTGTCGCCACATCATTCAACATACACATCATAGAATCCACATTCAGGAAGAGGTGGCAACGAACTTCAAAACGCAGTGTCCTGAAGGTGTCGGCCAGCATTCCTGGAGAGCGAAAAGCAAGCAAAAAAGAAGGAAAGGTGGGTTGATCTATTTCCACATGCAGATTTGGGTTTTACAGAACCAGACTGTCATCTCAGCAAATTGGGTACAGGCACACAGCTTGCCTATACCAGGGCTTTAGGAACACAGTCTTAGAATCACAGATTCATAAAATAATAGAATTGGAAGAGATCACATGAGCTATGTAGTCCAAGCAGGAAAAGGACAATCAAAATATCCCCGGCAGATGGCCAATCCAGCCTCTGTTTAAAAGCCTCCAAGAAAGGAGTTTCCACCAGACTCCAAGGCAGAGAGTTCCACTGCTGAACAGCTCTTACAGTCAGGAAGTTCTTCCTAATGTTCAAGTGGAATCTCCTTTCCTGTAATTGGAACCCATTGCTCATTGTCTTAGTTTCCAAGGCAGCAGAAAACAAGCCTGCTCCCTCTTCCTTATGGCATACGTAGCTATCATGTTTCCTCTCAACCTTCTCTTCTGCAACCTAAACATAACCAGGTCTTTAAGACACTCTTCATAGAGCAGAGTCTCTACACCAGTGTTTCTCAACCTTCCTAATGCCATGACCCCTTAACACAGTTCCTTATGTTGTGGTGACCCCCCCAAACATAAAATCATTTTCATTGCTACTTCATAACTTTAATTTTGCTACTGTTATCAATTGTAAGAGCCCCCGGTGGCGCAGTGGGTTAAAGCACTGAGCTGCTGAGCTTGTTGATCGAAAGGTCGCAGGTTCGATTCCGGGGAGCGGCGTGAGCTTCCGCTGTCAGCCCTAGCTTCTGCCAACCTAAGATCTGGCCCCATGCACATAAACATTAATCCACTGATTTTACATTTACAAGATAATCTCTGCCATCTATCTAACAGTCATGAAATAAAAAGGGAAATGAATGGAGAAGGGAGGCTGGGTGAAGAAATGCAAGCCCTGAAGAGCAGCCTGTTCTTTGTCCAACCTGTGGGATAGGTTGACCCTCCTTTTTTCCTAAGATGATTCTCCCTGGATGGTGAGGCGGTAAAGCTTTGCCCTGGTCTCTGGTTTTACTGGCTGCTAATTCTTCAGTTTTGCCATTCCAAGGCAACTGTGGGCCTAGCCAGCAGAGGGCAATATTGCATAATTAATACCGACCCCATTCACTGTAAAACCATCCTCTGCATAGGCCTTGCCTAAGAAAGCCCTATAAAATTCATAAAGTAAAGGCAAAGGTTTCCCCTTGTCATTAAGTCTAGTGACTGACTCTGGGGGGTGGTGCTCAGCTTCATTTCTGAGCCAAAGAGCCGGCATTGTCCGTAGACGCCTCCAAGGACATGTGGTTGGCATGACTGCATGGAGCGTTGTTACTTTCCCACAGAAGTGGTACCTATTGATCTCATATTTGCATGTTTTCAAACTGCAAGGTTGGCAGGAGCTGGGGCTAACAGTGGGAGCTCACCCTGCTCCCCACATCTGAACCGCCAACCTTTCAGTCAGCAAGTCCCGCAACTCAGCTATTTAACCCTGTGTGCCACCAGGGGCTATAAAATTCATAAAGTTACAATAAAACAAGTGACTTGGAGGGAATCATAGAATCAAAGCGTTGGAAGAGACCTCATGGGTCATCCAGTCCAACCCTCTGCCAAGCATCAGGAATATTGCATTCAAAGCACCCCTGACAGATGGCCATCTAGCCTCTGTTTAAAAACCTCCAAAGAAGGAGCCTCCACCGCACTCTGGGGCAGAGAGTTCCACTGCTGAACAGCTCTCACAGTCAGGAAGTTCTTCCTCATGTTCAGATGGAATCTCCTTTCATGTAGTTTGAAGCAGGCAGGCAGGAAAATGGGTGCACACACATGTTCACACACACACAACACCCAAATGGGAGCAGCAGCACAGTACAAACACTGCAGTCTGATTTCTAAATAAATGGTGACATAAAACTTCACATAAAATAAGTTTACCTGTGGGATTATTAACACAATGCAAGACATGCTGAGGAATTATTATTTCTTACCTCTTCCACTGTTTTCCTCTAGCTAGCTAGCTATCCACAGACAGATACATACATGAAGATATTTTACATAAAAGAATCTCTCTTCTGTGTGTAATATATATGGAATACTCAAAACCTCCTGCTTTTTTGGTATTTTTTTTCTTGATTATTGACTTAAAGAGAAAAATCATATAAATTTCCCCTAGGCTGCCATGGTGGGTGACTGGGAAGGAAGCCTATTTCATGCTTGAAGAAACCATTTGGACGGTATCCAGCTCTATTTTCCTGAGGCCATGAGTAGTAATTTCCTCCCAAAGATTCGTGGGCTCTAAAAGAAGTTAGCTGTGCCATCATGGTCTCATCTTGCAAATGAATCTTCTAATAGGATGTCCTCCAAGTGAACTTGGTATGAAATCAGACAGCAAGACTGCTCTCCTAGGGAATCAACCCCAGTAAAAGTGAATCCTATTTCTGGACAAACATACTGTTCTGTGGAACATTCCTGAATGGGAGCTTGAGTCCTACACTTCCCTGGATTACACTCTTGAGCCACATGCTCTTATGTATGATCCAGGTGTGAAACGTGGCCCTCCAGATGTTTTGGCCCATAACTCCCATCAGTTGTAGAAAGCACAGGTGGAAATCAAAGCTAATGGAGATGTAGTCTAACAGCATCTGAAGGGTCCTCAACTAGCTTGTCTCATCTGAAAGGCATTAGGCCTTTGTGGCTTTTGACAAAATCAGTAAAATAACAGCATCCTCAGGCACATCTAGGGGTTGTTTTAGACTATTTCCTATTTCTTTACTACCCATTCTCAAAAGAATATTGAAGCAGTGCAGAAAGCATGAGAGATGAAGCCCATTTGTGTCTTATTTACACTAATACAAGAGCACAGTTTGAAAACATTTGTTTCTTTAGACTACAATACGGATTATGCCAGCTGGGAGATTCTGGGAGTTCGAAGGCCCAAAAGTACATTTTACTAGCTCCATTGTTGTTGTTCATTCGTTCAGTCATTTCTGACTCTTCATGATCTCATGGACCAGCCCACGCCAGAGCTCCCTGTCGGCCGTCACCACCCCCAGCTCCTTCAAGGTCAATCCAGTCACTCCATCCATCTTGGCCTTGGTTGGTCCCTCTTCCTTTTTCCTTCCATTTTCACCAGCATCATTCTCTTCTCCAAGCTTTCCTGCCTTCTCATGATGTGGCCAAAGTACTTCATCTTGGCTTCTACTATCCTTCCCTCCAATGAGCACTCAGTCTGTATTTCCTGAAGTATGGACTGGTTGGATCTTCTCGTGGTCCAAAGCACTGTTAGAACTTTCCTCCAGCACCACAGTTCAAAAGCATCTATCTTTCTTCACTCAGTCTTCCCTACGGTCCAGCTCTCACATCCGTAGGTGACTACGGGGAATACCATTGCTTTAACTATGCGGATCTTTGTTACCAGTGTGATGTTTCTACTCTTCACTATTTTATCGAGATTGGTCCTTGCTCTCCTCCCAAGAAGTAAGCATCTCCTGTTTTCCTGGCTGCAGTCTGAGTCTGCAGTAATCTTTGCACCTAGAAATACAAAGTCTGGCACTGCCTCCACGTTTTCTCCCATTGTAGCAATTTCAATTGCCCGGGTGCTATTTCACAATAACAAAAAAAACCAGCACTATCACAGAGAAGAGAAACTGGTCAATGATCCCACGGGGAACTGCACAGTTTGCAGAAGTAGAAAAACCTGTGAGAGGAAAAGATGCTCCGGAAAACTGAATCCTCAGTGCGCTCTGACTTTAGAGGAGTGGAGAAGAGAAATATGGTGATGAAAGGAACTAAATGATAAAAATTTTGAATCCTGTAGAAAAGGAAATGCTCCCAAAGCTGCAATATCCTGTTGCAGACTCCACTTCTCTTGACAAGTCCAGTAATGAAAATCTACCATTGATGATAGATAGATACGTTTTATTGATTGGCCTATTGGCTGTATCAAAACATTTAACACATAACATATTTAACACATAACACATTTAACACATAGTCATACAACATACAACGCTCGGTAAAAAAAATCTACCATTGGTATGCAGTTATGCTTCTGTTATGAGGAACTTCATAACTCTGTCGCTTTAGGATAAGCAATGCTCCCCTTCTTTCTTTCTGCCCAGACATTACCCTTTTTCTGTCAAAAGTAAATGCAACTGACTTCCTGAATTTTGAAGATGTCCCCTCAAGTTTCGAAAAGTTAGGACTTAATCTCTTACGATCTCTGCAAGTACCTGAGTGACAGAACCTTCAAGTCAACTAACACAAACTTTTGTAAACTCTACTCTTACAATAACCACACAGAAACATTCTGACAATACATGCCATCTGTGCATACCAACATGTCTCCACAGTTGCTGTGGACAAGAAACAAGAGAAAGAAGCTCATCATCTTCTCTTTCTCCCTCTGCATTAAAGCTCCCTAAGGCACCAAGCAGCCCCAGCCTCTCTTGCTCTGCATTTGTTATTTTTAGCTACTCCGGTGTTTCCAAGGCCATGTTTCAAGCCCTCAAGAGATTATTTTCTTGTTTCTGCTTATGTAAATGACTCATGGGATTCTCTCAAAGTGATCACAAGAAAGAAAGAAAAACTATGCAAATGATTGTCTAGTTGCACTCTCTAGAAAGGTTTGCATCTGCATGATCTTATTTTTTTTTAAGAAAAGAAAACGGAATTGTTTATTTTTAGAGAAAATAAACCCCTCGGGAAGACCTTCAAACACACTGAAGAAAAGGATGTGGACAGAAAAACAAGAAACCTTAGGCTCTAACTACAAAGCTAAGAGACTATTTCACATTGGATAGATCAGCCTGAAAATAAAACCCTAATCTCTAGTGACACACATGAAGTTGCAAATATGGACGAGAGCCTGTTTTACCCAAGAATTGGCAAAGTAGTTAAAATGTGAATGAGCAATTAAGAAAGTTCAAGTAAGGTTATCTCAGGCAATTCTAATCTGGATCAAACTTCTGATTCAGGCACCTTCTACACTGCCATACAATGCAGATGATCAAAGCACACAATCCACATTATCTGCTTTGAACTGTGTTATATAAATCTACACTGCTATATCATGAAAAATAGACATGATAATTATAACTTTGTACACTGCCTCTTTCCTTATCTCTCAATTCCTTCCCACTCCTCTGTGACATATTAGAGATGGGTAAAATTTAAATTACTAACAATAACCCCATTCTTCACATTCTCTCCTTTATTTTTCCCCCATTTATTTTGTACCCTAAGTTTCCATTTTCCCTGTGTGTATGCAAAAAAAACCCAAAAAAACAACAAAACCCTATAAATGTTTAACAAAAATTATAAATATAAAAGTTCATCTTCTTCCTGACTCACAGAAACAGGTATTAAAAGTTCCTGCTGCCACTCATGATATACTGGGTGATTGTGTCTTGTACAGGAGTCAATTAAGCAGAAAGTTACTTTATTTAAAGCAGTGGTTCCCAACCTGTGGTCCACAAGAACAAAAATATGGTCTGTGGCCTCACCATTACCACAATGTCACCTCAAAACCACATGGCAATGAGACGGACTGGTTCCACGAAACCCTCTAATAGTGCCAAGGCAACGGGGATGTCGGGAGGGGAGAGGCTGACTAGCCACACAAGAGTACTACTACCACATCAGCTCTAGATTATTAAATATGGTTTTCTGTGGGCGAGCAAATGGCGACTACTGGATRGCATATGTTCTGTATCAGAAACTAGAGCTGATGTGGCCTATCCAATGCAATTTTCTGAATCAGCACCTCAAATAACCAAACCGAATCTAAAGTTGACCAAAAACTGATTTGTAACCCTTTTGGTACTAATGTTGAAAAGTGGTCCCTGGTCAAAAAAAAAAAAAAAAAAGGTTGGAAACCACTGATGTCCTAAGTTTCTTAAATGTTGGGTGCTGTAGTCCCWCTCATCTAGAATAAACCAGGTTGTGAGTGAAAGCTGATAGTACAGAGAAATTCAGTTTTCCCCAACACTTACCTCCATCATTCCCAATGCAATCTATAATCAGGCACACTCCTAAGGGCTGGCTCTGCATTTTGTACTTGCTAATCACCTGCAAAGATAACAAAAAATATAATTGACCCACAGGCTTCCTCCTACTTTTTGCTCTCTCTACACTTGACAGTACTTCCCTGTCTTCTTGCCAGACTATGTAACTCAGTTATTTCATCTGAATGACAGAAAACTTTTAGCAACAGAGGTACTGGCAGTGGAATAGATATTTGGAATTAGTGTCTCTTGTCAACTATATAAAGTAAAAGTAATATAAAGTATTGCGTTCTGAGGCTTCGGCCCGTGTAAGCCGCATCGAGTCCTTCGGGAGATGCTAGCGGGGTACAAATATAGTTAATAAATCTGGAGAAGTCACTGCCTTGAGATCCTACACTATCCAGCAACGTGTAGGAATTCTCCTGGTGGAATTCTTCTAGGACACTAAGGTTTGTGGTTTGGTTGTGATGACTCCCAACTTACGAATGGCCAGTCTTTGGCTGGGATTGGAGCTTGGAGACGCATCTGGCTATGCCCTATAGCCAGACTTCTTTTTCTGAGATTTACTAGGGTCTTAATGGGTGATGCCATCGTTCCACATCTGCCTAAGTACCATAGCCAGATGTTATTCATGGAATGGCTGTCCACAGAGGCTATAGGAGCCAAACCAGGAGGGAGGAAGAGAATACTCAATTCTGCCACACACACTGAAAGGCATGTGCAGATGTAAGGTGATGAAAATGGTCTTTCCCACTTCCATTTGCAGGCCCCTCCCCTCGGCTAGCGGAAATGAAAATGTTTCAGATCACCAACAAATGGAAGGCACCCTCATTTTAAGAGCATCGAAAACTATGAAAACATTGAAAACTAATTAGTTGCTTTATGACTTTTGTGTACTCCATGAGGTTAAAACACATTTCGATGTTCAGAGAAATGTCTTTAAGATCAGGAATTAAAATGTGTGGTCCACCAGATGTTGCTGAACTGCAGTTCCCATCATTCTTCACCACTGGTTATGTTGCCTGAAGCTGATGAAAGTCGCTGTCAAGCAACATCTGGATGGTCATAAATTTTCCGACCATGTCATAACATTAATTGCATTTTAATGGATTTTTACTTTGAACAAAAGAGGACTGCATGGTAGCATGAAAGGATATTATACAATACCTGCATGGCAGATCCTCCTGTTTCTGGTATCGATATGTGAATGGGTTCAGCTGAAGACAAAAAATGCAATGTTGTTATCAGCAGTATACTTGTAATCCCCCACAGCATCAGTTTTAGGCAGTTTTAAAACACAAACATTTTAGATAGTATATGGGATACTAAAGCAGCCTGGATGCAATTTTATGGTATCCTATCCTGCTCTAAAATCAGTTATGGATTAAAGTTACAGGTACCCTGTCCAAATCCAATTTAGCAACCTTACTCTATGGCCCCTTCTACACTGCCATATAATCCAGATTATAAAAGTAGATAATCCACATTATCTGCTTTGAACTGGATTATATGTAGACTGCCATATAATCCAGTTCAAAGCACATAATTTGGATTGTATATGGCAGTGTAGAAGAGGCCATAGAGAAAAGGGGAAAGCAGACAAGCCTGGCACACCAGCAGCTCTCCTAGCAGATTCATAAATACAGCCACCAAAATCAAAACCATTATAAAAATGAAAACTATGGTGAAAGTAAAAAAATATCCTTGCCTATACTGTGGGAGAAACTTTCAAGTGGTCTTTAGGAGGTTTTCGTTTACTTATGCAATGCTTACTTGCCCTGATCGTTTCATTTCACATGGGCACACTGTTAGCTTTGGATAAATACTTTGATAAAACATGCTGAACTGCCCTTCTTTTTTGAGCTGTGGGAATTGATTCCTACTCTTTCTGTATTATTTTTACCTCTGGTACCCAATTTTCTGTTAAAAGAAAAAATACCTTCACGAACTTCGATAGACTTGTAAATGCTGCTCAGAAGTAACTCCTATTAAGTTCAGTGGCAGGTCCCATTAGGTTCAGAGGTAAATGTATGAAGGATTGGCTGGGGATCATGTGACCCTTCCAAAGATGTCAGATTCTAACAACTATCAGCTCCTACCACCATAGCCGATAACAAGAGATAATGAAAAGAGCTATTTGTCAACATCTTGGTGGGAATAGATTCTCCACCATTGCTGTAAGGATTGATAGACCTTACCTTGAACCACACCGGCTCCATTGAGCGCCTTTCCTTTGTTCTGCAAATAGATTTATTTAAAAAGACATCAAATCATTATTTTTCACTAATAATGTACCACTATGGCCTTTTGAAGACTCAAGGAATTGTGTTGGCAATGAAGGCACAAAGTCCTTGAGCTGATGATTAATAGGAAAGTGATTGAAAACATTAACAGCCAAGTGTAACAATGGCCTTAATATGAAACAACATTATGGAGATAGCGGTTTCAACCACTACATCTCTAAAACTAATATTATAGAACTGGAAAAGAAGCAGAATAAGGTGATGAAAATGATCACGGGGAAAATCTTCCCTAAGAGGAAAGAGTGTTTTTGAAAAGTTTATTTTTAAAAGGAAAATGTGTAGGGGGGGTTGATGGGGGTTTATTTAATTATTCAAACAGTGTGGAGACAGATCAGAGATTTCTCTCCTTTTCCTTTCTCCTTCCTTCTCAACCTAAGGATCATGCAACAGATTTGAATCTGAGTAGACTCTGAACTGAGGAAACAAAAGGCTTTGCCACTTACAATATATGCATGAAACTCGCTAGAAGAGGATGTGGCAACGCTCTATTTCTAGCACCTGTTCAAACACTACCAGAAATGAGATGCTTGTCTAAATAAGCCTTTGGTCTCATCCAGAAGGTGTATTCTTGTATTGGAGCCCCTGGTGGCGCAGTGGGTTAAACCCCTGTGCCGCAGGACTGAAGACTGACAGGTCACAGTTGTAGGTCAAAATACCTGGGGATCCACAGGATGAGAACCACTGCTCTAGAGATTTAATGAAATTTCTGGCAGAGAATTAAGATGGCTATGTTATGTTGAATAGAGTTAGTAAAGTCCTAATATAACCATTTGGTCAATCCACAATCATTTGTGGCTTTTCCCTCAATATATTGATATTCTGTGCTTGGAAAAATCCTTTATCTTGAAACCATGTTTGGGAACAATTTCAGTATCTGGAATTGTCCTGCACTTACCACTTGAGGGTCAGCAAGGGACAGCTTAGGAAATGTTGCCTGCAGGGTGTTTGCACAGATGGGCGGATGCACCAGAGCTGAAAATTAAACGGAGGCTCTCATAAACACCACGAAGGCAGTCATTCCCTAGAGCTAATGCCTTCCTACTTGACCCCCATGTCATCTTTGACATCTGCACCGATTATGGAACATCTGGTCCTTCAGATGTTTACAGGCAAGAAATTCTACCAAACCTAGCCAGAACAGGAAATATTACCCACCCCTGCGGAGAACATTCTTAATATTTTCACTGAAAAAGAGACCCCATGCCACATCCTGAAACATAATATAACCTTTAAAAAGGTTTTTAAAAACACAAGAGTTATAGTATCACAATATAGTATTAGCCTTGTATCCACTGATTTGATATCCTTAATTACCCACACTCCAAAAATACTACCCCAAAAGTGTTTGCGGGCCTATTTAGACCCTCCAGTGCTATTCTATGGTATGCACTAGCATAATCAAAATATGGAACAGGAGACGGAAGGGATGAAGCCAGCAGGTAAATCCCTGCTAAGTTTCCTTCCTATGATTTGAACAGTATTACAGGGTGAACCTCTGAACTGTAGTATCACTAATATTGAGAATGAACACTGGAAATTCCAGAATGAAAAGTGGAAAGGATTTCTGTACTCTTAGTCATTCTTTAGATGGGGAAAACTTCATAAGGCATTCTTTGCATGACAAGAAGCACCTGCTGATAGTTCCACTTTCACACAAGCAACTAAAAACACAGGAGCCCTCTCCAGTTTTCGTTCTGACAATTCATACTACTCCAGTGGCTCCCAGTCTTTGGTCCTCTAGGTGTTTTGGTCCTCAGCTCCCAGAATTCTTGACAGCTGGCTAATCTAGCAAAGATTTCTTGGAGTTGAAGTACCAAACCCCTGAAGGACCAAAGGTTGGGAGCCAATGCTTATGTAGTGGTATTTTGACACAAATTTTTGATGGTAAGAAGTTGGTGGTACTGTGGAAAGGCTGGATGACTCTCTAGTTTCAGAATTATAAAATTTACAGATCTGGAAAAAGCACAGCAATTTAACAGTGTTTGTCACAGAATGATACATTCATTACTAGCAATATATTATTACTAGCTGTCAAATTCATTTAGAGACCCTGACTGTATTTAATAATAAGAGTAAGAGTTCATGTCAATGTGAGATATGCAAGATGATTTCCCCACTTATGGAGGCCTCGGAACTTTGCCCAGGGGAACCAGCCAAGAAAACCAAACAGTAAAGCAAGAACATCTTACCTTCCTGTTTGAACTTCTGGATTTTTTTTGCCAAGTCTTTCCTGTGAATGTGTAAGAAGCAATTTTCTATCAAATCCAGTTGATTTGGTGACACCAGATCTAGCTTCTCAAGGTCATTTATAATTGTCAAGAAACTCTAGAAAAAGTCAAAACCCATGCATTAAACAGCAGACCTTTGCAAAACTGAATGGTAAACCAGAGAGAGAGAGAGAGAAGAACACAAAGAGGTTTTAATTTAAGCTATCTGGGGATTCAAAAACATATTTTGTTTTGTTTCTATGCACTTGAAGGGGACAACAGTGGGGGTGTTTCCTGTGTTTCCTACACTAGTGAATTCATTTGTTCCCCTATCCACATCTTGCCACCCTAGTCCTACTTTAAGCCTTAAAAGAGATGTTTAGATCTCCTATTTTACCAATGTTGAATTGACTTCAAGACAAAGTAACCTCTGGTGTCAAATAGACAACATAGGAAAGTCACAGCTGACCAAGGTCTGACTCCAGGTTCACTGAGGGTAGAGGGAGGCCAAAGGGAGTGAAGTGGAAAAATAATCTAACAGCAACACTGAATCTGATATATACTACCATATATATATATAAAAATGTGGATATTTCCTAGCGCTCTTATCCATGCTAAATAAATCAGATTCTTCTTCTTTCACCCTCCCCCTTTCCTTTTTACACTGAAAATTATAGCACAACTATCTTTAAAAAAATGCAGCTAGATTCATCATCTCAGACCCATAATCACATCCTTCCCCAACAGTGCGTCTACTAGATATAAGGATAATGGGTAATACAGTCAAAAGGATCACTGCAAACCCTTCATGACGTCAGGCAAATCATTCCATGAAAAAGAGGTAACACAGATGGGACATTCAGGCTCTGAGGCCAAATCCATTTCCCCCAGCAGTTCCCATTACAGTCCTTCAAACTTCTCCACAGGGCCTCTATTCCCATGCCACCACTGAATCATAGACTCCTACAGTTGGAAGACACCTTATGGGCCATCCAGTGCAACTCCCTGCCAAGAAGCAGGGAAATCACATTCAAGGCACCCCCGACAGATGGCCATCCAACCTCTGCTTAAAAGCCTCCAAAGGAGCTTCCATCACACTCCGGGGCAGAGAGTTCCACTGCTGAACAGCTCTCATGGTCTCACAGCTTCCTCATGTTCAGGTGGAATCTCCACTGTTCCACGTCCTAGTCTCCAGAACAGTAAAAAGCAAGCTTGCTCCCTCCTCACTATGACTTCCCTTCACATATTTATACATGGCCATAAGGTCTCCTCACTTGATGATCTCTCAGGTATTGCCCAGCCTCACTCCCTACTCACATGTTTTAAAGGGTTTTAACTATTTCTGTTGAAGTAAGAAGTAAGAATTTTAAGCTAAAATGTGCTGGCATTTTTATCCTATCTTTCTTCCTGAATGCAAGCAATGGAATGGCACCAAGAACTTCTCTGAAACCGAACTCCATCCTCAAGCTGCAAAAGGTTTCCTACAATTTCCTTAACAAGGCTGACAAAACGTAATTCTTTGAAACAATAATTTGCATTTCTTTCCCCTGCTCAGCCACTGGGAAAGTCTATGTTATACACTGCAATATGTAAGTAAGATAGGGAATTGAAAGGACTTCCCCTGTTACTTCCCCCTCAAATGACCTCACTTTGCAATCACTGCCTCCATATTTTTTGAACTCCTATTCAAGCAGCCTTTCATAATGCAACAAGAAATCCATTTAGATTTGGAACTAATTTCACTGAAAATTTTCAGACCATGGTACAAAACGTAGAAAATGCCCAATCAAAATCAGTTTAAACAATAAATAAACTTAGTGGAGTGGAGGCTCCTTCTTTGGTGACTTTTAAATAGAGGCTGGATGGCCATCTATTGGGGGTGCTTTGAATGCGATTTTCCTGCTTCTTGGCAGGGGTTGGACTGGATGGCCCACTAGTTCTCTTCCAACTCTAGGATTCTAAGACTATATCACATCTTTCACTATACTTGTAAAAGATGCTCAGCACTTGGAAATGATTATAATGACTTATATGAATCAATTACATACATTTTCCCCAAACATACCTTAAGTTGTTATATTTCCCAATTCACTGAAGTTAATCCCACACTTTAGGGGGTTAAATGTTTCTGGAGTGTTGGAATTCATTGGGATACACCATATCTCCACTTATGAGCACATTAGAACCCCAAAATTATCTGGAGGCCCTTCTTTCTGTCTCACCAACTTCTGAGGTTGATTTGGTGGGAACAAGGGAATGGGCCTTTCGGTGGCTGCTCTCAGACATTAGAACTCCCTCCAGAGAAAAACCAGGATTGCCCCAGTCTTTGCTCTCTTTCCCATTGGCAAGTCAAATCATGTTTGCGCCATTAGACGTTTACAGACTGACTACAGTTGGATTTTTAATACTGTGCATTTATGTTTTTAGGGTTTATATATAATCTCTTAATGATTTTTTAACATTTTAATGTTTAAACTTCATAAATTTAATTGTTTTTATTTATTTACACTTCTATTAATAATAGCTTTTGATTTATTTCAATTTTTCTTAGTTAAAATATTTTTTTAGCACCTTGAGTCCCATTATTGGACAAAAGGCGTGCGATAAATGAATCATCATCATCACCCTCCAAAGAAAGTATTTCCTCCTTTCTTTGGCATGTCCTATTTTCCTCTCTCTCTTTGCCCATTTGACTTTCTACACATCTTGCTTCAAGGAGTTTAGTAAGACTGAAGCTATAATTCTGGTGTCAAAAGATACAACGAATTATAATAATGTCCTCTATCTGTGCCTATGTCATCCCTTTAAAAAATCTACTCCAAATTATATACCCTTGGGTTAAAGGAGCAAAACATTTACTCTACCACTGATTGTTGCAGATCATGCTACTGAAAATGAATGAGGACTGCATTCAGTTATACAGAAAAATATTCTGCAAGTACTCAGAGGCACTCAATTCTACATCCTTAATATATTCTTTGATCTTTATAGCCAACTAATTATGAATGCACTTGAATGTGGATCAGTGTCCTCTCCATAAAATTAACACATCATTTCTTATTAATCTTTAACATCACACAATATTAATCTTTAATAAAGAAGGCACTTGAAGAACCAATTAACATTGCAACCCTGCTACTCCCTCTTACGTGCATTTATTGTAACATGCAAGGAATTCTACCTAAGAATTTCATTTTAGAAATGATGGGGAAATTACAGTAGAGAAGTTACCTTTTCTTTTGCCTTCTTCACATTGGATGCACCAAGCTCATTCATCAGAAGAAATCCAAGAGAATGCAAATCATCTTTGCCCATATCTTCATTGATTTCTGCCATCAACACTCTGCAAACATATAGTCACAATCTGCAATTAATTCGGCTTCAGCGAATTTATATTTTCAGATTGGCCCAGTGCTTCTTATTTCATCCTTAAACAGATATGGATTAATTTTTTTGTGCTAATCATTGACCATAATAAATAAATAAATATAAAGCGGACTAATGTTAAATTAATGGCAAGAAACTTAGAATACTTGCTGGAAGGCTCCATGAGTTGTGCAGACTGTTAATGCTAGATTTGAGATGAGTGCCAAAACAAAGATCCGGGTTCTAGTTTTTGCAGCTTGAACACCCACCTCTGTAATTAATATCAGGGTCACAAACCAACATGAAGTCAATAACCCCCTTCCAACTTCCCTTGTTCCAATTTGTCAAAATGGAATAATAGAATAGCGCAACATTATTTGCAGAAGCAGAGGACATACATGAGCAGTGATTCCTGGAAGTGAGCCATGGTCTAATCAGAGATTGGAGAAAAAAATTGTTGGACTACAATTCCTAAGCAACCCCAACCAATTCTCAAAATATCTGAAGATTCTTTATGATGAACATGGGAAATAATGGAATCGGACTGAATTTGTGTCTAGCAGGCAAGCTGGAGGCATTTATTTATGTATTCCAAATGGGAGACAGAAACTACCCATTTAACTTACCTGTACTTTGGTAACATCGGAGGATGTGTGGCCAGATGAGCTTCCACGGTTGTTCTCCCAACTGCCAGGATCTTCTTTAGCAAGTCAAACCTCTTCAGTCTGTATAGCAGTTCAGCCAAGCAGAAAGGAGTCAGCATCTCCCTCTCATTCAGAGCCACCAAGAGCCCCTGAACATCCAGCCCAGGAAGGTTAGGAACAAGATCTTGGCACAAGAAGACCATGGTTTCCTTTTCTTCTGCATCAAGTTCCTGCTCAATCTGATGAAGAAGCCTGATGGGCATCCGATAAACAGTCATCCCAAGCCACTGTTCCTTTTGGTCTTAAACAGGAAAGCCACGTTGGGGACAGGGGCCGTCACTTTTGTTCCTGGTATCTTCCTTCACTTCCTGACTGCAAGGTCTTTGCCTTGGGTTTTTTATCGGGCAAGAAACTTTCTACAAAGAGGAAGCGTCAGAAATGTAGATTACACTATGTGGCAGTGAATCTACTAAGTTCAATGCGAACGCTTACCTTGAAATTATGTTCACTGCTATTTTTAGGTCAAACTCAGAAACTAAATCACACATGTTCAGATTTAGCATTACAAAAGACTCAGGATGAATGAAAAATGGAATCTCCACTTGTAGAAAAGCTCTCTTAAGTTACAAAACTTAGACTGCCAATGGGGAAATGAAACTGACGCGAGCCAAATGTACACAGTGAAAAGAACACAGTAAAAAATGAGAAATCACATGCTGTCAGCTGTTTCCACACAAAGGTGCTCTTTCACTAAAGCTATATATGACTTAGAAAATATTTTCCATGTATATGACACATACTGAGAATATGTATCATATACATACTACTATTACTATTAATTAATTTCAGTAATAAAGGTATTATTAAACATTTGCAAATTAATTTATTTGAAATCATTTAAATATTTTAGATTGACTTTCAGAGTAGAACCTTCCTAGGAAGTATTCATATTGTTTGAAAAAATGGGAAAAATCAAAATAAATACATAAGATTTTAATGATAAGATAATCACAATCCATTAATATCAAACTACAACTAAAGCTATCAGTCCAAAAGTACCGTAAATTTAAAAGAAAGTCACCCCAAGCAAGAGGCCCAGGCGACAAAGAGGAAGAGGAAGATGATAAGGAGGGTGAGGGAGGAAGAAGAGCCACCCCCTCGCCCTCCTTACCATCTTCTTCCTCCTCCTTTTCGCTGCCTGGGGCCTCTTGCGGCTCCTTGGGCTCCCTGCGGCCTTGCGGCATGAGGCACATTCGGCAAAGAGGAGGAGGAAGAAGATGGTAAGGAGGGCGAGGGGAAAGTGAGGGTGCGTCCCTACATCGCAGAATTTCACTTATTGCAGGTAATCTAGGAACATAATACCCGCAAAAAGTGAGGGACCACTGTAAAGCATTCTTATTCCAAATACTGAAGAAAAAAATTGACCATGTTCATTTGACCATGTTCAAATGAAGCTTACCTGGAGAATGAACTTCCATAGATCCAGTGGCTCCTTTTATTCTTTATCCGGATAGTAGATAGTTCCATCTACTATCCAGATAAAGTTTTCAATCCTGAGACTCAGTCCCTGTGGGATCAAGAAGAACAGAAAAAAAGGAATGTTCAAAACCCAAACATTAACAGACTCCGACAGGATATGCCTCAGTGAAGACTCCCACATTCCTCTCATTCCACAGATGCCACAGAGCACAGTCACACTCTTGGATGCATTTGGCAAGCCAAAGATCATCTGCTAGATCTTGATGATCCTGTACTGAAAGCTATCAGACAAGGGTACTGCAAACTACCAGTAGATAAGTACTATGAGATAAGATGTAGGCTATGAGACAAAGAAGATGAAAGTATGCTGTTGTGTGTCTTTTCAAGGCCACTTCTGGCAACCCTCTGAAGACCATATCACAGTGTTTCCTAAGGCTAAGAGTGCATTACTTCCTCAAAGTTATCACGCAGTGGGTTTTCAAGGCCAAGTGAAGATTCAGTCCCTAGTCTCCAGAGTCACAGTCCAACACTCAAACCAATATGCCACATCAACTCCTCAAACTCTTCAAGAGCAAAACCTTACAGCTTGCCAGCCAGAACATTAATCTATCCTTTCCACCTTCTACATGGATTGTTTCTCCTTCTTTTATTAGCTAGTCAGATTTTGTAGTCACTAAACACGTTTAGTCCTCACTGGGAAGTTTGGTGATTTCTTGGTTTCAGAGGTTCCTGGATCTTTAGTAAACTTTGGAAGTAGTTCCCAGTCTGTTGATATCTTTCCTGGGGCCAATGTCACTCTGAATACAGAAAACAATTGCAATGATCCCTCCACATTTGCTGAGGTTATAGGCACAGAACCCCCCATAACCTCAGCAAATGGGGAAGTGAAAATAACATGAATTAAAGATGCTATTTTTACCTTAAAGAACATCTCTCTAGAAACCCCTAAGTCCACTAGGACTATTCTATAGTCTGCCAGAGAGGTGTGATCACAGAGTCGCGCTGGAGGACCTTGAGCAATCATAAAAAATACAGCTCAACAAAATGAATTCTTGGCATTTTGGTTTTTAGGCTTGTTCCTTGATTTATCGGGAATCCTGATTTTGCATTGAATAGACCGCATCAACTCTGGTTTCTTAAATATGGTTATCATGATTTTCTATGGGTGATCAGATAATGCCTAGTAGAAAGCATATGTTCTATGTATTGTTGAAGGCTTTCATGACCGGAATCACTGGGTTGTTGTAGGTTTTTTCAGGCTATATGGCCATGTTCTAGAGGCATTCTCTCCTGATATTTCGCCTGCATCTATGGCAAGCATCCTCACTACCTCTGAGGAGCTTGCCATAGATGCAGGTGAAACGTCAGAAGATAATGCCTCTAGAACATGGCCATATAGCCTGAAAAAACCTACAACAACCCAGCATATGTTCTGTATCTCAAAAACTAGAGATCATGGGGGGAAACTGGTACCATTTTTTGAATGAGCAGGTCAAATATACCCAGAAACAGGGCAAAATGTGTACTGGTCACATTGCAAAAAGAAACAAAAACTGGATGGTGTGTGAGGTTCAATAAAAACAGGTATTATGTTGCAACCTGTGCAACATAACTCAGGAAAGAAGTGGGTGTACATGTTACATTAAACTTACAAGTGGGCCAAAGCCATGGGGGGGGGGGGCACTACTTCCAGAATTAAATGGAGAAGGAAGCTGAATAGTATGGTATTACTCAGAAGTACAGCCTTGAGCCACAAGGAGGGACAGGTAAGACTTAAAATTATCATCATCCTATGTTTTGTTGCATTGTGAGTCGCTGGTTATGTTTGGATGTCATGTAGCTAGAATTCTTGTATCTTATGAAAGAGGAAGCACACTAATGCCCAGTCCCCAGATACTTCCGCTGCTTATAATGGGAACTCACTGTGATGTTCTGAACTCAACCAACTCAAGACAAGGCTTTCTACAGGAACTGTATAGCCTCAGATTTCTTCTTGAATAGATGCTGCCAGGGAAATTAAAAAAAAACAGGAAGAAAAAGCAGGGAGAGGAGCTAGTCCTCCGGGGCGGCTACAATGGCGGTGCAGGCAGATTGGGCGCGGGGAGGCCGCTGCTGAGGGAAGCAGGAAAGGCCACACTGGGGATCTTCTCGGTGGTGGCCCCACGGCTGTGGAACTCCCTCCCCGGTGACATCAGAACAGCCCCCTCACTCTTAAGTATCAGGAAGTATCTTAAGACCTGGCTATTTAAGCAAGCCTTTGGGGATTAATATGACCCGTAAGTATGATAGAAGAACGCCTCAATGTTTACAAAGCTCATTTGGCACTAGGCTTTTGATATGCTTGATATGTTTTAATAATTTGAATTACTATTTTAATATGTATGTTTTTAGTTTTATAATATTGCATTTTACTAACATCGTTATTGTCTGAATCTGGTATTGAAATATTGTCATAGTTTATAAGTTGCCCTGAGTCCCCTTCGGGGGTGAGAAGGACAGGGTATAAGTACAGTAAACAAACAAACAAATATGGAAACACAAAAACAGCTGCCATCTTTCTCATACCTCAAAATGTGTCCTTTATAGGTAACTTGCAAAATTAGTTTATCAAGCAATCTGAAACATTTCTCATCAGTTCTTAAAATACCAAGGGAGTGGGGTGTAGTAGTTTGAGCATTCGACTATGGGAACATCTACACTGTAGAATCAGTTCAGTTTAGCACCACTTGAGCTGCCATGGCTCAATGTGATGGAATCACAAGAGTTGTAGTTTGGTGAGGCTCCAGCACACTTTGGCAGAGAAGGCTAAAGACTTTGGAAGAATACAACACTTAGAATCCCATAGCGCTGAGCCATGGCAGTTAAAGTGGGTTCAAGCTGCATTAATTCTATAGTGTGGATGTCCAAAACACCTAGAGGGCCGAAGTTTGCCCATGCCTGGTGTAGATGCGTTTTACCACTGTGTAGACCAGGGTTCAAATTTCTGCTCAGTCATGGAAATACTCTGGGTGCCTTTGGTCAAGTCATTCTCTCTGCAAAAAGATACTAACTCTAAACAAGTTGTGAAAAGTAAACAACCTCTTGACATAAATGGGAAACACACAACAATCCTGGAGTGCAGCTTGCAACCGCTCAATGCTATGAAATCACGAGAGTTGTAGTTTTACCAAAGAGTGCTGCTGCCTCACCAAACTAACAACTCCTAGGAGACCATAGCACTGGATCATGGCACTTAAAAGTGAGGTCAAACCACATTCATTCTATAGTGTAGAGCCACCAATCTCTGACTTGCCAAGTCATTTGCTTTCAAGACAGATTAGTAAAGAATATAATCTTTTTTAAAACCCTAAATGGCTCCTTTGAAGCCTAGATGCGTTAGGACTCCCTTTTATGTTAAAGCAGCAAGCCTTCATTTTCAAAGAGGAAGAAGCTGCTCAGTTTCCTGGTTTCCATGTGTAAACAAGAATCTGTTTGTTTGTTTTTAATTTCCTGAAACTGCTGTTCCTCCTCCTCCTCCTCTTTCTTTCAAGTGGCACCCACAAGAAAAAGGGAACAAAAGAAAAGATCCTTGCTGGGGTTTTCCACTTATTTCCTCCCTTCTGCTGATAGTACTACGTAACATGATTTTTGTTCCTGTGTTATAAAGGTCATTTTCTAATTGGTTCAATCATTTAAAAACATGGCAAAAGTTTATTACACTGCAAAAAAAAATGTTTTTTTGCGAGATCTTGTTATATGTATTGTCGAAGGCTTTCACTACCTCACTACCTCTGAGGATGCCTGCCATAGATGCAGGTGAAATATCAGGAGAAAATGCCTCTAGAACATGGCCATATAGCCCGGAAAACCTACAACAACCCAGATCCTGTTATAGTTTTTCCTTTAGTTTTTCAATGAATATCTCATTGAATCTCAACCAATCCAATCTACTTTGTGGCAGACACAAAACGAAGTTTCTGGAGTAGAACAACTACTTTCAAAATAAGTATAGAACAATTAAACAGGAAATAACACTTTCAAACCAGGAACAGAAAAAAAATTCAAATGTGGTTACATAGTGATGAGGACATGGCTGGGATTTATCATTATCCCCGTCAGGGAAACTCTCAAGAAAAACCTTCATGGGTTAGTAACTCATTGTGACTCACAATGAGACAGGGTGCATCTACAGGCCCTTCTAGACAGGCCTTAAACACCAGGACCGGATCCCAGGTTTTCTGTTTATCCCAGATTATCTGGCAGTGTGGACTCATATAATCTAATTTAAAACAGAAAACCTGGGATCAGCTCCTGGGACATAGGGCCTGTCTGGAGGGTCCCTACACTATAGAACAGGCATAGACAAACTTTGGGTGGGGGTGTGTGTGTGATAAAGATGGAAAAAAAGGGGAAAGGTTTGGCTTCGTCCATTCCACAGGGAGTTTTTTTAAATTAAATATTATATTTTTCTCCCATTTTTCAAGAATTCTCGCAGCTTTCCAGATGATTAATCTTCTGCCTGAATTATTCTTTTCCCTGCTGACTGTTAGGAATTGTGCGAGTTGAAGTCCAAAACACTTGAAGGCCAAAGTTCGTCCATGCCTGCTGTATAATGAACGCAATCTGACCCCACTAACTGCCATGGCTCAATGGTATGGAATCATGGGAGTGAGGAGCCGTGATGGCGCAATGGGTTAAACCAGTGGTTCTCAACCTGAGGGTCCCCAGATGTTTTGGCCTACAACTCCCAGAAATCCCAGCCAGTTTACTAGATGTTAGGATTTCTGGGAGTTGAAGGCCAAGACATCTGGGGACCCACAGGTTGAGAACCACTGGGTTAAACGCTTGTGCCAGCTGAACTGCTGATCTGAAGGTTGACGGTTCAGATCTGTCGAAAGGGTGATTTCCTGTCTGTCAGCTCCATCTTCTCATACGGGGACATGAGAGAAGCCTCCTCCAGAATGGTTGCCTCCTTCAGAATGGTAACACATCCAGGAGTCCCTTGGGCAACATCCTTGCGGACAGCAAATTCTCTCACATTAGAAGTGACTTGTAGTATATTCTCAATCCACGTCTGACACACACAAACAGCACTCTTTGACAGAGAAGGCAAAAAGACCTTGTAAAACTACAGCTCCCAGGATTCCATAGCACTGAATCCTGGCAGTTCAAGAGGGGGTCAAACTGCATTAAATGCAGTGTTTCCCAACATGTCTCAGGCCCTTTCTAACCTGCCATATAATCCAGCGTGCAGCAGCCAGGTTGCTAACAGGAGCGGCGCTCAGGGAGCACACAACTCCTCTGCTGCGCCAGCTCCACTGGCTGCCAGTTTGCTACCGGGCCCAATTCAAAGTGCTGGCTTTAGCCTATAGAGCCCAAACGGTTCTGGCCCAGCCTACCTGTCTGATGGACATATCTCCTTCTGTGAACCATCTAGTTAAGATCATCTGAGGAGGCCCTGCTCTCGATCCCGTCTGCTTCGCAAGCACGCTTGGCGGGGACAAGAGACAGGGCCTTCTCTGTGGTGGCCCCTTGGCTGTGGAACTCCCTGCCTAGGGATATTAGATCAGCCCCCTCCCTCCTGACCTTTCGTAAGAGAGTGAAAACCTGGCTCTTCGAGCAGGCATTCGGAACCCCGGAATAGATAAGTCAAGCTTGAGATGGAGAATGACCCAGGAACGGCCAAGACGATGAAATGGACGAGGATTGGAATGAGAGGATATAGCTCTTTTTAAATTGTTATTGCACTGTCTTTTTTGTCTAAATGCACTTAATTGTTTTTGCTTTTGTATTGTATTGATGGCATCGAATTGTGCCGATATGTAGACCGCCCTGAGTCGCCTGCGGGCTGATATGGGCGGGATATAAGTGATGTAAATAAATAAATAAATAAATAAATAAAATCAGATAATCCAGTGGTTCTCAACCTTGGGTCCCCAGATGTTTTTGGCCTGGCCTACAACTCTCAGAAATCCCAGCCAGTTTACCAGCTGTTAGGATTTCTGGGAGTTGAAGGCTAAAACATCTGGGGACCCATAAACTGAGAACCACTGAACTGGATTATGAGTTTACACTGCCGTAGAATCCTGTTCTAAGCAGATAATCTGGATTGTATATGGCAGTGGAGATAGGGCCAAAGTGCCAAAAATAAGATGGCTGTCTTTGAATTCACAGCTGTGCCTTGGAAACTGCGTGACCAGGCCTAGTCTCACCTCCCACGCCTTAAAAGCCTCCCTTTTTGTCCTTTAGGGCTGTTTTTTTTTTCCCCTCAGAGAGAGACGGAAAACAACTCAGTTTCCCTCGTGATATCAGCGACCACAAAACACCTTTGACTAAGAGCTCCACAATGAGGAAACAACACGGCGCGAGGGAAACCACAACAAAAGCCCCGCCCCGCGCGCGCGCCTGGATGCGCGCGCAGCTTCTTGCCCTCCTCGGGAAGCCACTTCCGCGTGCCGGAAAAGTCTTTCCAAAATAAGTTGCGCCTTAAAGGGGCCGCTGAGCTGAGCCCTTTTTGCACTGAAGCAAGACAAGCATTGTTGTAGTATTAATAACTAGCCGTCCCCTGTCACGTGTTGCTGTGGCCCAGTCTGTGTATATGTGCTTTGTTTGTGCATATTTTTGTGTATATATGTGTGTGTGTGGTTTTGCGCATGCGTTGTAATGTATTTTTTTTCTTTTTTTGGCTTTTTAAATCTCTTCTGCTGTGTTTTGCAGTGTTTTTATGAGTGATGGTCACTCATTGGCCTGATAGGTGTCTTCTGTCCACATTTGGTGTCAATTCGTCCAGTGGTTTTTGAGTTATGTTAATCCCACAAACGAACATTATATTTTTATTTATATAAGATTAAAGATTAATAATGTATTAATAACTAATAAACTAATAACGAGAGCAATGGCTTCAAAGTACAGGAAAGGAGATACCATCTGAACATGCGGAAGGACTTCCTGACTGTGAGAGTTGTTCAGCAGTGGAACTCTCTGCCCTGGAGTGTGGTGGAGGCTCCTTCTTTGGAGGTTTTAAGCAGAGGCTGGATGGCCATCTGTCGTGGGTGCTTTGAATGCAGTTTTCTTGCTTCTTGGCAGAAGGGTTGGACTGGATGGCCCATGAGGAAGAACTTCCTGACTGTGAGAGCCGTTCGGCAGTGGAACTCTCTGCCCCGGAGTGTGGTGGAGGCTCCTTCTTTGGAAGCTTTTAAGCAGAGGCTGGATGGCCATCTGTCAGGGGTGATTTGAATGCAATATTCCTGCTTTTTTGCAGGGGGTTGGACTGGAGGGCCCATGAGGTCTCTTCCAACCCTATGATTCTACTGTGAGAGCCGTTCAGCAGTGGAACTCTCTGCCCCGGAGAGTGTTGGAGGCTCCTTCTTTGGAAGCTTTTAAACAGAGGCTGGGTGGCCATCTGTCAGGGGTGCTTTAAATGCAATATTCCTGCTTTTTGGCAGGGTGTTGGACTGGATGGCCCATGAGGTCTTTTCCAACTCTTTGATTCTAATGTATCAATAACTAATAATGTTCATTAATGTGGCATTAATAGATTATTAATAATTGTAATGTATTTAATAATGTCAATCAATAGTCTTGACACAGTTTGGCCACACTTGAATTGCCAGGGCTCACTGCTGTGAATTCCTGGGAGTAAAGAGAAAAGGCACTGAATTTGGAAAACTACATCTCCCAGGATCCGTGGTGTTGTTCCGCAAAACAATGTGGAGGCCGCTCTCCCCGGAAGTCAATGCTGGGAACTGTAGTTTGACAAAGCCTGGAGCCTTCTCTGCCAAAGATCGCCTGTGCCTCGCCAAGGCGATCGCCTGGCAGTTCGAACTGGGTTCAAAGTGCACCCATGCTACAATGTTGAGTCACTCCAGTTTGAAAATAAAGTGCCTTTCTTCGAAGGATCAAAAAGGAGGGGCTCGATCTGTTCTTTCGCCCCGCTCTCTTTCCCATGAAGGAGGAAGGAAGGACACACACACACATCCGCTTGATCCTCTCCTCCTTCCCCTCGTTCCTTCTTTCTCTCCCTCTCTCTCTCTCTCTCTCCTTCTAGAGAATCAGCTGCTACTCACAGGCAACCCGATCGTCCCTCTCAAGATGGCAGCACCCCTCGCAGTTTGGCCAGTGACGCGGGAGGGAGGCTTTCGCTTTCCGAGAAAGAGGCCTGGACGGGGAAGAAGGGGAGGAGGAGGAGGAGGAGGAGGGAGTGCCGCGAAGAGGGAGCGCCATCCCGCCACCGGCCACAAGGGGCGCCCGCCTTCTACACTCTTCAGTACTGATGATCGTGCCATTACTGCTCAAGCAGGGAGCTTTGAGATGGTTGAATAGAAGCTCTAGGTCAGTGGTTCTCAACCTTCCTAATGCCACGACCCCTTAATACACTTCCTCATGTTATGGTGACCCCCAACCATAAAATTAGTTTTGTTGCTCCACCAATGATGGAATTGCTGCTGTTATGAATCATAATGTAAATATCTGGTATGCAGGATGTATTTTCATTCACTGGACCAAAATTTGGCACAAATACCAATATACCCAAATTTGAATACTGGTGGGGTTGGGGGAGGGTTGATTTTGTCATTTGGGAGTTGTAGTTGCTGGGATTTATAGTTCACTACAATCAAAGAGCATTCTGAACTCCACCACAATGGAATTGACCAAACTCGACACACAGAACTCCCATGACCAACAGAAAATACTGGAAGGGTTTAGTGGGCAGTGACCTTGAGTTTTGGAGTTGTAGTTCATCTACATCCAGAGAACATTGTGGACTCAAACAATGATGGATCTGGATCAAACTTGGTACAAATACTCAATATGCCCAAATGTGAACACTGGTAAAGTTTGGAGAAAATAGACCTTGCCATTTGGGAGTTGTAGTGGTTGGGATTTATAGTTTACCCACAACAAAATAGCATTCTGAACCCAACCAACAATAGAATTGGACCAAATTTTCCACACAGAACCCCCATGACCAACAGAAAATACTATGTTTTCTGATAGTCTTTGGCAACCCCTCTGACACCCCCTCGCAACCCCCATGGGGGTCCCAGCCCCCAGGTTGAGAAACGCTGCTCTACAGTGTGAATAGAAGATGCACTGGGTTGCTGTGAGTTTTCCAGGCAGGATCTTCATCACAAACGTGGAGGCCGTGACAGACTTTGTATTTCTAGGTGCAAAGATTACTGCAGACGCAGACTGCAGCCAGAAAATCAGAAGACGCTTACTTCTTGGGAGGAGGGCAATGACCAATCTCGATAAAATAGTAAAGATTAGAGACATCACACTGGCAACCAAGATCCGCCTAGTCAAAGCCATGGTATTCCCTGTAGTAACCTACGGATGTGAGAGCTGGACCTTAGGGAAGGCTGAGCGAAGGTAGATAGATGCTTTTGAACTGTGGTGCTGGAGGAAAGTTCTGAGAGTGCCTTGGACCAAACCAGTCCATACTCCAGGAAATAAAGCCCGACTGCTCACTGGAGGGAAGGGTATTAGAGGCAAAGATGAAATATTGTGGTCACAGAATGAGAAGACAGGAAAGCTTGGAGAAGAAAATGATGCTGGGAAAAATGGAAGGAAAAAGGAGGAGGGGCCAACCAAGGGCAAGATGGATGGATGGCTTTACTTACTTAGGCAATCCCTCATAGTCCGAGGATGATGGTCCTCCAAGGTCAGTGTCCTGGCAGTGGGTTCGTAGGTGATTGTGGAGCCCAATTCTTGATCTGCATCTTCTCCCGCAGTGAGGGGATTGGTTTCCAGGTGGGAGGCGGTCCCGGTTGGGATTGGCTTGACGCGCCTTCCTCTTGGCACGTTTCTCTCTTTCGCCCTTCATTCGTGCCTCTTCAAATTCTACAGCACTGCTGGTCACAGCTGACCTCCAGCTGGAGCGCTCAAGGGCCAGGGCTTCCAAGTTCTCAGTGTCTATGCCAGAGGTTTTAAGATTAGCTTTGAGCCCATCCTTAAATCTCTTTTCCTGCCCACCAACTTTCCCTTTTCCATTCTTGAGTTCGGAATAGAGCAACTGCTTTGGGAGACGGTGGTCGGGCATCTGGACAACATGGCCGGTCCAGCGGAGCTGATGGCAGAGGACCATCGCTTCAATGCTGGTGGTCTTTGCTTCTTCCAGCACACTGACGTTTGTCCCTGTCTTCCCAAGAGATTTGCAGGATTTTCCGGAGGCAGCACTGATGGAATCGTTCCAGGAGTTGCATGTGACGTCTGTAGACAGTCCACGTTTCGCAGGCATATAGCAGGGTTGGGAGGACAATAGCTTTATAAACAAGCACCTTGGTATCCCTGCGGATAGCATCCGTGAAGTGACTGGATTAAACTTGAAGGAGCTGGGGGCAGTGACAGCCGACAGGGAACTATCGCGCAGGCTGGTCCATGAGGTCACAAAAAGTTGGAAACGACTGAACGAATGAACAACAACAACAATCTTCATCACACTAGAGAAAAAAAAATCAACTTAGTCATGGCAGTCCAAAGTGGTTTCAAACTGTCTGGTCAGAATTAAGCAGGATGGCCTTTCTGGGAATCTCTTCGTCTTCCAGTACAAATTCCAAGCAAGTAGTTTTCATGTCTTTGCTTTGTTGCGTCCAAAATAATTGTTACATGTTTCCAAATATTTTTTTGATTTAACATTTCCACATAAAGTAAACATAAAATGCATACTAAAAAAGTGAGGGTAGGGAAAAGACAGGAAAGGAAGGAAAAAAATAATTGGGGGTAGTAATAAAATAGCAATGTATGTGGTTTAAAAGTTATATTGTATTTTTCGTTTGTGTTTAAAGACATGAGACAAACCTTTTGTTTTCTAAATATATATTCCATTTATGTAATATAAGGCATATGTATATTGTAATATAAGTCATCTATATAAATAAAAATGTAATGTTTGTTTGTTTGTGGGATTAACATAACTCAAAAACCACTGGATGAATTGACACCAAATTTGGCCACAAGACACCTACTAACCCAAGGAGTGACCATCACTCAAAAAATTGAGTTTGTCATTTGGGAGTTGTAGTTGCTGGGATTTATAGTTAACCTACAATCAAAGAGCATTCTGAACTCCACCAATGATGGAATTGAACCAATCTTGGCACACAAGACTCCCATGACCAACAGAAAATGCTCGAAAGGTTTGATGGGCATTGACATTGAGTTTGGGAATTGTAGTACATCTACATCCAGAGAGCACTGTGGACTCAAACAATTATGGATCTGGACCAAACTTGGCACGAGTATACCATATGCCCAACTAGGAACACAGATGGAGCTTGGGGGAAATAGACCTTGACATTTGGGAGTTGTAGTTACTAGGATTTATAGTTCACCTACAATCTGAACCCCACGAATGATAGAATTGGGGCAAACTTCCCAAACAGAACCCCCATGACCAATAGAAAATACTTAAGGCCATCCAGTCCATGTCCCTTCACCAGGGCAAGAAAACGTAATCAAATACTGTTTACCCACAAGCATAAAGAAATTACATATATTAGAAACCAACACTTGCTCATTACTTTATTTTCCAGATCACCAGACTGGGCCACAGCAACGTGTGGCAGGGACGGCTAATCATTTAATAAGATTTAAACTGTAATAATAATAATAATTATATATATATATATATATATATATATATATATATATATATGAGTCTTTAACTGCTAACTGCAATTTGGTTCCTCCATGTTGCTTGCTCAAACATTCCAACCTTAATTGCAAATATTTACACACATAAGAAATAATTAACCATTTCCCTAGTCCGAAGTCCAGATGATCACGTACCAAATTGAAATTGTAAGCTCTGAGACATAAAGCAGCTGTCTCCAGCTAAACCCATGTCACTTTTACTTCATATTATTTGCTTTAACTTAACTGTGTTATGTGATTTCAGTTCCACTAAAACCACAGGTTTGGGGCCTGGAGTGCCAAGTTTCCAAAGAATTAGATAAGACACAGCTGGGCTGAAGGCAAAGTCAAAAGCTTTATTCTCAGTGGCCAGAGAAGATGTCAGCAAAGACAGCACTGCAAAGAACTGACATATCTCAATACAAACATCTGGAGTTTTGGAGTTGGATGTCATATGTATACAGATGACGTTCAACTCTGTCACTCCTTTCCACCTGCTGTGAAGGAGGCTGTTCAGGTCCCGATCCGGTGCTTGGCAGCTGTGACAGTCTGGATGAGGGCAAACAAATTGAAATTGAATCCAGACAAGACAGAGGTCCTCCTGGTCAGTCGGAAGGCCGAACAGATTATAGGGTTACAGCCTGTGTTGGATGGGGTTACACTCTCTCTGAAGACACGGGTTCACATTTTAGGAGTTCTCCTGGATTAATTGTTGAGCCTGGAACCCCAGGTTTTGGCGATGGCCAGCGGAACAGTCACACAATTAAAACTTGTGTGCCAGCTGCGCCCATACTTTGGGAAGTCAGACTTGGTCACGGTGGTCCATGCTCTGGTTACATCCTGAATAGATTACTGCAACATGCTCTATGTGGAGTTGCCTTTGAAGACTGTTCAGAAGCTCCAAATGGTCCAGCAGGCGGCAGCCAGATTGCTCACTGGAGCTATGTACAGGGAGGGCACCCCCCTCCCCCGTTACGTCAACTCCACTGGCTGCCAGTCTGCTACCGAGCACAATTCAAAGTACTGGCTTTAGCCTATAAAGTCCTAAATGGTTCCAGTCCAGCTTACCTGTCCAAGTTGATCTCCCCCTATGAGCCATCTTGGAGATTTAAGATAACCCAGGGAGGCCCTGCTCTTGCTCTCGCCTCCTTCACAGGTACTGGTGGGGACGAGAGACAGGGCCTTCTCAGTGGTGGCCCCTCAGCTGTGGAACTCTCTCCCCAGCTATGTTAGATCAACCCCCTCCCTCCTGACCTTCAGAAAGAGTGTGCAAATGTGGCTCTGGGATCAAGCCTTCAGGGAAGAACCATAGTGCAATAGATGGACTGGAATTATATGTCATAATAACTAACTTTGGCCACATTATGAGGAGACAGCAAAGCCCCATTACGCTGGGGAAAGTGGAAGGGAAAAGGAAGAGAGGCCGACCAAGGGCAAGATGGATGGATGGCATCCTTGAAGTGACTGGTCTGACCTTGAAGGAGCTGGGGGTGGTGACGGCCGACAGGGAGCTCTGGCGTGGGCTGGTCCATGAGGTCACGAAGAGTCGGAGACGA